GCAGCCGGTGGTTCTAGTTGAGGAGGAGGAGGAGGGGATTTGGTTGGGGGCGAGGGGGAGGAGGGGGTTGTGGAGATGTCGTCGTCGCGGTCGAACAACCGGGCGACGTGCTCGCGGAGCAGCTCGGCGCGGTCCAAGCACAGCGCGCGGGTGGTGGCGCAGACGCCGATGGACGCGCAGCTGCACGCGGAGTTCGAGGGGTCGCAGCGCCACTTCGACTACTCGTCGTCGGTGGGCGCGGCCAATCGGTCGGGCGCCACCACCAGCAACGTCTCCGCCTACCTCCAGAACATGCAGCGCGGCCGCTTCGTCCAGCCCTTCGGGTGCCTGCTCGCCGTCCACCCGGAGACGTTCGCGCTGCTCGCCTACAGCGAGAACGCCGCCGAGATGCTCGACCTCACGCCGCACGCCGTGCCCACCATTGACCAGCGCGAGGCGCTCGCCGTCGGCACCGACGTGCGCACGCTCTTCCGCTCGCACAGCTTCGTCGCGCTGCAGAAGGCCGCCACCTTCGGGGACGTCAACCTGCTCAACCCCATCCTCGTCCACGCCAGGACCTCCGGGAAGCCCTTCTACGCCATCATGCACCGCATCGACGTCGGCCTCGTCATCGACCTCGAGCCGGTCAACCCCGTCGACCTGCCCGTCACCGCCACAGGCGCGATCAAGTCGTACAAGCTCGCTGCCAGGGCCATCGCCAGGCTGCAGTCCCTGCCCAGTGGGAACCTCTCCCTGCTGTGCGACGTGCTGGTCCGCGAGGTGAGCGAGCTCACTGGCTATGACAGGGTGATGGCGTACAAGTTCCATGAGGATGAGCATGGTGAGGTGATTGCTGAGTGCAAGAGATCTGATTTGGAGCCGTATCTTGGCCTGCACTACCCAGCCACTGACATTCCTCAGGCATCCAGGTTTTTGTTCATGAAGAACAAAGTGCGGATGATATGCGATTGCTCCGCAACGCCTGTGAAGATCATCCAAGATGACAGCCTAACACAACCTATAAGCATATGCGGATCTACTCTCAGGGCACCCCATGGTTGCCATGCACAGTACATGGCAAGCATGGGCTCCGTTGCATCACTTGTGATGTCGGTCACTATAAATGAGGATGAGGATGATGATGGAGACACTGGGAGTGACCAGCAGCCGAAAGGGAGGAAGCTGTGGGGGTTGATGGTCTGCCATCACACAAGCCCGAGGTTTGTCCCTTTCCCGCTTAGGTATGCTTGCGAGTTTCTCTTGCAAGTATTTGGGATACAGATCAACAAGGAGGTGGAACTGGCTGCTCAGGCAAAGGAGAGGCACATCCTCCGCACGCAGACTCTTCTCTGTGATATGCTCCTTCGAGATGCTCCTGTTGGGATATTTACCCAATCACCTAACGTAATGGATCTAGTGAAATGTGATGGTGCAGCATTGTATTACCAAAACCAGCTTTGGGTGCTAGGATCAACGCCCTCTGAAGCAGAGATAAAAAACATTGTTGCTTGGTTGCAGGAGTACCATGACGGTTCTACTGGATTGAGTACCGACAGCTTAGTTGAAGCAGGTTATCCTGGCGCTGCTGCACTTGGTGATGTTGTGTGTGGCATGGCAGCTATAAAGATCTCTTCAAAAGATTTCATCTTCTGGTTCCGATCCCACACGGCAAAGGAGATTAAATGGGGAGGAGCTAAGCATGAACCAATTGATGCAGATGACAATGGTAGGAAGATGCATCCACGATCTTCATTCAAAGCCTTCTTGGAGGTAGTTAAATGGAGGAGTGTTCCTTGGGAGGATGTTGAAATGGATGCTATCCATTCTCTGCAGCTAATATTACGTGGCTCCTTGCAAGATGAAGATGCCAACAAGAACAACAATGCAAAGTCCATTGTTACAGCTCCATCTGATGATATGAAGAAGATTCAGGGGCTCCTTGAACTGAGAACCGTTACAAACGAGATGGTGCGCCTAATTGAGACAGCAACTGCGCCTATCTTGGCTGTTGACATCACTGGGAGCATAAACGGATGGAATAATAAGGCTGCAGAACTCACTGGATTACCTGTCATGGAAGCCATAGGGAAGCCTCTGGTCGATCTCGTCATCGATGATTCTGTTGAAGTGGTTAAGCAAATTTTAAATTCAGCTTTACAAGGTTGGCTCTATGTTGAACTTGGCCTTTTTGTACCATCCAACTTAATCATAATGTGTCCATTATTTTTTGGGTGACTAACTTAGGTCTTCTTTCTTGTATTTCAGGAATAGAAGAGCAAAATCTGCAAATTAAGCTTAAAACATTTAATCACCAGGAAAATAATGGACCTGTAATTTTGATGGTTAACGCCTGCTGCAGTCGTGACCTTTCAGAGAAAGTTGTGGGGGTTTGCTTTGTAGCACAAGATATGACAGGGCAGAACATTATCATGGATAAGTACACTCGGATACAAGGGGACTATGTTGCTATAGTAAAGAACCCTTCGGAGCTCATCCCCCCTATATTTATGATCAATGATCTTGGTTCCTGCTTAGAGTGGAATGAAGCTATGCAAAAAATTACTGGTATAAAGAGGGAAGATGCAGTAGATAAATTGCTAATCGGGGAAGTTTTCACCCACCATGAGTATGGCTGTAGGGTGAAAGACCATGGTACTCTGACCAAACTTAGCATATTAATGAACACAGTGATATCTGGTCAAGATCCTGAGAAGCTTCTTTTTGGTTTCTTCAACACCGATGGCAAGTACATAGAGTCACTGATGACAGCAACCAAGAGGACAGATGCTGAGGGTAAGATCACTGGCGCCCTTTGCTTTCTTCATGTGGCCAGCCCAGAGCTTCAACATGCTCTGCAGGTGCAGAAGATGTCTGAACAAGCTGCTATGAACAGCTTTAAGGAACTGACATACATACGTCAAGAATTAAGGAACCCACTCAATGGCATGCAATTTACTCGAAATTTGTTGGAACCTTCTGACTTGACTGAGGAGCAGAGGAAACTTCTAGCATCAAATGTCCTCTGTCAAGAACAGCTGAAAAAGATTTTACATGACACTGATCTAGAAAGCATTGAACAGTGGTGAGTGCCGTTTGTTCCACTGTAGTCTGACATATAGATATTTGCCAACTTTTATTCTGAGCCCTTCCATTGTTCTTGAAATCACGCTTTAATGATTTTTAACCATAGCAAATTTAGATGGTCTTGCAGATTCAGAACTGAAATCACCACTGTTTCATGCCTTTTCTCCAATTATATAGTCTATATGTAGAACAACATGATATGTAAAAAAGGAAACTTTCTATTTAGTGGTTGGAATTAACCTATACACGGAAAATTCCATTGGTACCATAACAGTTCCAGCACTACAAAATAAGTTCATATAAAGCTGTATAATATGCCTATTCCATTTGCTTTTTTCACGCACAAGATCTGATAGAATACGTATTGGTTACTAACTCTGTGCTCCCACAGCTACACGGAGATGAGCACCGTAGATTTCAACCTGGAGGAAGCCCTGAATACAGTCCTAATGCAAGCCATGCCCCAGAGCAAGGAGAAACAAATTTCCATTGACCGTGATTGGCCTGCAGAAGTATCATGTATGCACCTCTGCGGGGACAATTTAAGGCTTCAACAAGTCCTAGCAGACTTCCTGGCATGCATGCTTCAATTTACACAGCCAGCTGAAGGGCCTATTGTGCTCCAAGTCATCCCCAGGATGGAAAATATTGGATCTGGAATGCAGATTGCTCATCTAGAGTTCAGGTAAGCCACCCATTTGCCTTGTGGAACTTATAGTGATGTTTCTTGAACTGCAAGTACAGCTTTACTGGTAATAGAACCAACTTAAACTTTGCATGCAATGACCTAATTTCCATTACTCCAACTCAACTTCTCTGGGGAGAAATCTGTTTGTTAACATGCGTTCAGTAAGTACTAGAGGCGCACTATTGAGTTCCAGACACCTTTATTCCTGCAGCTTGTGTTTACTGTCCATCTTATCAATAGAGGCAGGACACTCAGTAGTCACATAAAAACTGACGGTTCAAAATAGGCCTTCCATATTATCTCAACATAAACATAGCATAAACATAAAATGCAATATCGTAACATCTGAGTAATGACTATATAACCAATTCAATGATGCAACCCTTACAACTATTTAAGATAACGGATAACCCGGCCGACAACCCTTAAAACTGTGAGTAAAAGGAGATTGATTAGATGATGCGAAGCTTTAGATTGTTCGACGAGCTTGCTGGGGCACAACCCCACTTAACAGAAGCGTAATCTAACATCTGCCCAACGGTTGGCTCCATGCAGGCTTGTCCATCCAGCTCCGGGCGTTCCAGAGGCTCTGATACAAGAGATGTTCCGCCACAGCCCAGGTGCATCTCGAGAGGGCCTTGGCCTTTACATAAGCCAGAAGCTCGTGAAGACGATGAGCGGCACGGTTCAGTACCTCCGGGAATCAGAGAGCTCGTCGTTCATCGTCCTGGTAGAGTTCCCGGTCGCCCAGCTCAGCACCAAGAGGTGCAAGGCTTCCACGAGTAAATTCTGAACTTAGGGCTATGGCCAAAATTCTTGTGGGTGCTGTATTGTTGTTGTTGCTGCTGCTGCTATTAGCAGATCAGGCAGTCTGAGGAGTACGTTAGCTGAAGATGTATCAGATGTGTGTAGCTTGTGAAAGTGAAGGTAGTGGTTGGATAGATGTATTTGTCACGTTGATGTCTGGAGAGCTAGTGAGCGAGCTACTAGGTGTTAGTGTAATTTAACCGGCAAATGTATGAACGAATTATGAATAAAATCTTCACTTGTGTTGTCATGAATAAAATCTTCACTTGTGCTGTCATTATTTCCGAAATTATTCATCAAATTCGAAAAAAAAAGAAGTGAACTATTTATATATTTTATCGGACAAATACACAAAAATCTTAGAATTATATCGAGTTGTGTGTGAATTAGATTGCGAATAGGCCCTTGGTAAAAATGAAAAAAAATATGGGGGTTTTCAGTTTTTACAAGCCCATTTGGTCAATACTGGGCTAGCCGTTGTTGGCCCGACCGCCGGAGGCTCACTCGCAGCGGTCGATCATGGCGGGGAGGGAGAAGAGGCGGCGGGTGGCGGCGCTCGACGGCGAAGAGCGGCGGCGGCGGCAGGAGGAAGCGGCGACCCTCCTCCACAGGATCAGAGGTGCACTCCCCCTCCCTCTCGTGATCAATCGCTTAAAAAACTTCTGAATCCTTCATCAACCGAAGTAAACACGCGTCCCTCGTTTTTTGCGCAGGGTTGGTGCGCTGGGTCGTCGCCGAGGTCGCCGCCGGCCGCTCCCCGACCGTCGCGCTCCACCGCTACCAGAACTACTGCTCCTCCGCCTCCGCCGCCGCCGCGTCCCCATGGTCGGTTTCCGCGTCTCGCCCTACCCTACCATCTCATCGGCCGTTTCAAATTCTCACCCCGCTGTATGCGCTTGCAGCGCCTGCAGCTACGACGTCCCCGTGGGCACAGATGTACTCTCGCTCCTCCACCGGGGCTCCCACGCCTCCCGGCTCAGTACGCGTCGTTGATTTTTGTCTCAACCTGCGTATCTACGATCATGTTAATGTTAATCAGTTTGGGATGTTTTAATCGATGTGCAGATGTGCTCCTCAGGGTTCTTCTCGTCGTGCAGCAACTCCTGCAGCAGAACAAGCACTGCTCCAAGAGGGACATCTACTACATGTACCCCTCCATATTCCAAGGTCTGCATAGGTTCCATGCCTCCGCTTCTGCTTTTGTTTCCTGCTGTGTGTGACAATTGGAATTCTGACACCTGTTTTTGTCTAAATACTGCAGAACAAGCGGTTGTTGACCGTGCAATCAATGATATATGCGTACTCTTCAAGTGCAGCCGGCACAATCTCAATGTGGTATGTACCGCGTAATCTGTGTTATTTTCCTTCAGAATCTTCAGTTTTGCTTCTAGAAGTTGCGTGTGCATCACATAATAAGATTCCACTTTCCAGCTGCTACATCCTTTGTGCCCACATTTCTGTCATTAATCACCTGGAGCCTTTTTTTTCTCAATGCTGTTTTACATCTTGAATTCATGTGTATGTACTGTCATAACTGACTGGAATGTGTGCTACCTTGGCTGCTTGCAGGTTCCTGTGGCAAAAGGGTAGGAACTCTGTCAACTATCATAGAGTTGGAGTGTCTGAAGATATGTTTAACTCATTCTACTGTCCTATTGATTGTCCATGCCAATACTTAATAAGATAACTTCTAACCCCTTATCTTCCAAGCACTTGGTCTGCTTAAAACAAAATCTGGATGTAAATAGTGAGATGCTTCTCTTTTAGCAAGGGCTTATAGAGCACTGTGAAGCTACCATTACAGTGCTATGCTCATATATTCTTCACCTATTCATTTCCCCTGTTAAAAACTCATCAATGTCTTTATTATTCCAGCTTGGTGATGGGCTGGATTAGATTTTTAGAGGGAGAAAAGGAAGTCTATTGTGTAACGAATGTCAATGCTGTAAGTTCTATGAGTTTCCTTTAATCACTGTAATATGTTTCTTTCTTTTTATTGATATGGTTTGATTTTTGCCTTCTTCAAATGCAGGCCTTCTCTATCCCAGTTAGCATCGAAGCAATAAAAGGTTGTTCAGAAATTTAAAGATCTAAAATTCAGTATTTATGTTACTGTTAATCTGCACTGAAAATAATTCCTTTACAATTTGCTGACATGGATTGCGTGAGGGGTTGGACCATAATCTCAATTATTCAGAATTAGCCACCATCCTTTGTTTTGAGAGAATCCACTTTGATATATTCTGAATCGAATAGCTAGGATTGATCTCTTAGCAAGGTGCTGTTCATTAGACTAAAGAATAAAGTCAGTGCTTAGTATCTTTACCCGTCTTGATTTAAGATATGCCAGAAAAAGACTGGACAACAAGTGAACCCACAGTTTATTCTTCATTTTCCTTACAAATATGCGGTTGATTATACTTATATCTTTTACTCACTTTATGTTACAGATTTCCTCTCTTGTTATCTGTGAACTTCAGTGTTATCCCTGATGCCTGAATTATATCTCAAGGAAATTAAGCTATCTTAGGTTTTCTCTTGTAGATGTTGTTAGTGTTGCGGACTACATACTTATTGTCGAGAAGGAGACAGGTATGAGGCTTAAAGATTCCTCATGTGCATGTGATACTTGTACTCTTCCAGTTCCAGCCTTCCTACAGTTCGCTTCTGTACTCTCCTTGCAGTGTTTCAACGTTTGGCTAATGACAAGTTCTGTGAAAGGAATCGCTGCATTGTGATTACAGTACTTACTAACTGCTGAATCTGGTGTTATACACAAAATATCTTCTTGCATTTATTCTTATCTAGTTTGATGTTGTTCTGTCTGCTCAGGGAAGAGGCTACCCAGATATTCCAACAAGAAGGCATATACTCTTTGTTATACTTTTCTCTTTTATTTTTCTGAATTGATATTTCAAATGTAAATACTTTATTTTTCCAGATTCTTGCGCTACCTTGTTGAACAGCTGCATTTGCCAGTTTACTGTTTGGTGGATGCAGACCCTTATGGTTTCGACATTCTGGCTACCTACAAATTTGGTTCACTGGTGGGTCATGATTTATCTAATTAGCTGTTTGCTTTGTATTTGCTATTATGCACTATCTGAGCATACCTGTTAATTAAAAATCACATATAACCACTTTATGCAAATGACTACTACACTTTCCTTATCAGTAGCTCCCAATAGCTGGATTGACCTTTATGCATTACATTTTTGTCCAGTATCAAGGCACATTTGAATCAAACAGTATGCCTTCAGTTTGTTTGGCAGCTCTAAGCCCTTTTAGCATGTCTTGTTTTCACGATATTCTGTCCCATTTTGCTGGTAGATTTGGACCTTGCAAGTTTATTTAATTTTCCTTGAAAGCTTGGTGTATTTATTTGTGTTAACTAACTACCTTCTGCAATGCGCTTGTGTAATTCTCATTCTATTTAAGCAATTGGCATACGATGCAAATTTCCTGCGTGTGCCTGATATTCGGTGGCTTGGGGTCTTCACATCTGATTTTGAGGATTATCGCCTTCCAGACTGCTGCCTACTTCACTTGTCGTCTGAAGGTGACTAAACTGAGGGATATAAATGACTGACATTTCTACAACTTTTTCTTGGAACTTATAAGTACCTTGTTTGTTCTTATTCAATTGTCAACCTCATGCTTCATGTATTCTGTTGCAGACAGAAGGAAAGCTGAAGGAATTCTCTCAAGGTGTTACTTGCACAGGGAAGCCCCACAATGGAGGTAAGGTTGTACTTTTCGTACCCGTATTACAAGCAATTCATGATTATGATGGGAGTTTACAAGTTAGAGCTCGGACTTAGCTAGTGGAACATTTCTTTGCTTTTGTTTTAACAGTAGTTAAAGTCATTTTTTTGAAGACTTTCTTATGAAAAACAGGCCAGCTTACTAATAAAAGCTGTACTCCTAACTTAGTGCCTTCCCTTCAGTCTCATTTCCTTAGTTTGAAAAACTCCACTACGCCCAGTAGGTGCAAGTTTTGGGGATGAATTTTAGTGTACCACTTGCCTAGGAAGACTTGGCCCATTTTATTTCCAGTAACTTTAGCCCTGAATTTTTTACACTGATATACTTTATTTGGCAGGTTGGAGTTAGAAGCCATGTTGCAAAAGGGTGTCAAATTTGAGATTGAGGCGTTATCTGCATGTTCCATTTCCTTTTTATCAGAAGAGTACATTCCCAAGAAGATCAAACAAGGAAGACATATATAAGATTGGTTGTACCTGTATCTATCCAGAAATTTTCATGTGGCAAAAGTCTTATTTTGTTTTTGTCATGCTAACTGTAGTCACATGTATGGCACTCTGGTAGTTTAACCCCCAGCAAGTATTTTGTAGCAATTGTTTATATATGACGGTGATTTGGTGCTGTCTCAAGAACTGAAAACCACAAATTTACAGCAACTGAAATTTTACTATTACTATCTCTGCTACTAAGAGCATCTCCAAGGTATGTCTAAAATTAGGCTCCTAAAAACCTGTATTGGGAGTATCACAAAAGATATTGGGCTCAAAAATCACCCACATCTCCAACAGTATCCCAATACCTGATTCCAAAAGAACTTTAAAATCTGCCATATCATCACTGGTGGGTTCTCTTAAACTGATTTTTCTCCAATTGGGAGTGCGTGGAGGTGCCCAAAATTAGCTCCTATTGGGTTGGATTTTGGATGTGCCTAAATATTGGGACCTCCTTTGGGAACCTGTTGGAGGGTTGGTTTTACCCTTAATTCCCAAAATTTAACTTTTAGGAACAAGATTAGGCCTCTCTTGGAGATGCTCTAACAATACCACCTAAAGAGTTGTGCAGCTTTATTTGGGGTTTATTGCATTTCTAACAGAAACCTTTTATAAGTGAATACCTCTATAGTCTGCAATTATGCATGTCTTTTCTCATTTTCTGCCAGATCGTCATCCTGTGGAAGCTGAGATTAACTATCCCGATCTTACCTGAGACTTAGTCTCCAGCCATCATCAGCCTTTTTTCCTTGCAGAGTTGCAGTTATGGAGTTAAGAAGAACGGGCAACAAAACAAAGGAAAGGTTGCTTAAATTCCAGGTGAAATCTACACCCACACAAGTTATATCATTTGCACATAACAAGCCGAAAGCATTGCATTGACTGAAAAGTAGCTTATCGAGTTTCATATATAGTCTCCAGCCATCATCAGCCTTTTTTCCTTGCAGAGTTGCAGTTATGGAGTTAAGAAGAACGGGCAACAAAACTAAGGAAAGGTTGCTTAAATTCCAGGTGAAATCTACACCCACACAACCTATCATTTGCACATAACAAGCCGAAAACATTGCAATGACTGAAAAGTAGCTTATCGAATTTCATATATGCAGGTGTGTGAGCTCGGTGTTACTTCACAAATACTTGTCTCTTACACATGTTCAGGAGCTGATCCACTATGTTAGATGTAGGAGGTAAGGACCACTCATTTCTTTTGTTACTTACTGAATTACCCGTGGGCAATTAGATAGAGTATAGGTGATAATTAGCGGAAGCAAAGGAAACCGTTGAAACACCAGATCAATGGAAAAGGCATCTGTTTTCACTGAGCAGATTGTGCTAGGGTCAGGTCATATGGGGAGAGAGTGCCAGAGTGGTCGACATCGAGCTTTTCAAACTCCTCCAGAAAAGAAGAAATCTCCTCTTGGTTGATCTTACCCAGTTCTTTGAGCTTGTACACAACAAATTCTGCAGCACTGCACAGACCAGATTTCATATATCAACACTGATTCTTTTAGGGACACGATGGAATAAAAATACTCTATGTGAGTTGTGTACTTACCCAACTTGTCGATCATCATCCAGATCGGCTGCCTCAAGATCCATCTTTGTCATTTTCCGTGTGAGAACCCAATTGGCCAGCATTTTCTGCCGTCGCTCGGTGTAGATCTCAGCAAGGTACATGAAGAATTGTGCCATGATGATAGTGCTCGTGATAATCCAAAAGACCGCGAAAACACGTCCCAGTTTGGATGAGAAGCTTTTATCCCCATAACCCAGGGTAGTGATTGTGGCACATACACAGTAGAAGGAATCAACAAGACTCAGTTTCTCCACTTTCCACAGAAATACGGTCCCAGAAATAATGGATAGCACCAGAAGCAGTGCATTTGTGTAAAATTTGTACTTTATCCTGTTTGTCTCGATTGCTCTAAGCATCTTGGTCTCACCACCCTTCAGATTCGTGTGCAATGCTTTGAAGAACAGCACCTCCTGCTTCTCAACAAGATAATCTGCTACTTTGCTGACAAAGAGAGCAACAACTGCCATACCCATGAAGACGAAAGCACAAGCAAGCAGTTTTGTTGTGTCATTGTTTGGGACGAGGTCTCCATAGCCGACGGTGGTCATTGTGACAACACAGAAGTACAAGGCGTCAAGCACTCTATTTGTTCGCTTGCCTGATATCTCATCCATGACAGCATAAAAGGCCAGGACGCCCACTAGAAGATAGATAAAAAGGAGAAGTCCTACTAGTCTGAAACTTGGCCTCATCTCCTTGAATAACTCCTTGGCTTTAACTGATGAGCCCTTTTCAGGGGGGCCTTGAAGAGGATCCGTGGAAGGAGTCGACCTGCATCGTCGAAACCGATTTACTCCTTCTGACGGCTTCCGCTGCAGCACATTAGGGTTATCAGCTAGCAGTGATTGCTGAATGCTGTTGTCATCCATTGGATTAGCCTGGATCTGTTACGGTCACAGCCAAAAACCTAAAATTCAGAAAATGGCATGAACGTTGTGCAATTTGACAAATAAGTGGGATGGAAAGAAAGGATTTGTAAGCTCAAAAGTTATGTAAAACTAAGGCAATATTTGCTGGATATCACAGGATTGCACAGAGAACCGAGGGGCTGCATTCTTCTAAGCATTATTTTTTTGTGAATTATTACATGCTAGAATCCTACAATATCTGATTGCTCCAATTGCAGGTGTGCTACGCCAGAAAATTCCAGTCACCTGCATATGCCTCCTATAAACTGAATTCTATCGGAAAGAGGTGCACGGCTGGTCATGAGCAACTCTAATTGAGCAGCAGGACGTGAAACCATTCTGCTCCATTTCCCCAGGTGAGTTACCATCATCCTAAACCCTAATCAGCTAATGTGTTATTTGACTTGAGCATTATTATACGCTAGCAGCAGCAGGCAAGATGATCTGGTTAAGGCCAAAATCAAAGCAAGGCAGCCTGACCTTTTTGACCAGTTGCCCTTTGGTCACGGGAAGGGTGCAGGTATTGACTATTGAGGATCTCTACTACCCTGATCGGATCTCCCCTCGATCTGTCCATTTCTTTGTCGACCAAGTCCCCCCACCTATCTCTATCCTCATTCGTTTAGATAATATTTCTCCAGTTCTCTCTTCTTCTCCATAAAAAGGGCATCAAACCGTAGAAGAAATTTGCGAGACGATGCAGGGATTGACTAGGGTGGTCGAAACAGCAAATAAGGTACTAGCACACATCAAGAACAGCTGCTCTCGATACAGTCCCACGGCCATATGCCAGTATGCCACTGCTCTTCGTGCGAAGAAAGCAAGGGAGGCAACGGGAGACAGAGAGAGCTTCTCTTACCTTTCCTCCGGCTGAGGGGACGCCGCGCGTCGATCTCCTCTCCCTCTCGCCCGACCTGCCCTGAGCCGCCTGAGACGGATGCCCCGCGCGCGCGCGCCACTGCTGCTGCGCGCCTGCGGGGTTGAGGGCTCTGGCTCCTGGCTGCAACACCACACCGGCCAAGATTCTGCGCGTCGTTGCCGCGTCCGGGGCTATTCTATTTTAAGGCGTCCGGCTAACTCCACCGGAACGGTGGATGTTGTCAACGTTGGGGCTAGCCCAAATCTATCAACGAGCTCAGCGTACGCAGCCGCAGGTGTGTTCTGACTTGTGAACTTGTGACGGCAACTGCAACCAGCGGCCACAAGTCGCAGTCACAGGCTGGATCTACTACTAGGGCTGTGTTTAGACGTAGTTTTGTAAAATTTTGGCGTGTCACATCGGATATATGGACACACAAACAAATTACAGAATACGTCTTTAAACTGCGAAATCATAACGCAATTAGGCTTAAAAGATTTGTCTCGCAATTTACACGTAAATTGTGTAATTAGTTATTTTTTTCGTTTATATTTAATACTCCATATATATGCCCAAATATTCGATGTGATAGGGTGTAAAATTTTACCAGGGGATCTCCGGTAGAACGGAAGGCAGGGATTGGTTTGCACGAACCAAAGGGGAAAGAAAAAGAAAAAAAAGGTTCGGTCTGACATATGGCATTGCCCTGCGTCCGTCGTCGTGCAGGATGCGTCCATTAAGGGGCCATTTGAATAGCAGGATTGAGAAAATATAGAAATAGGAAAAACGTAGGATTTTGATAGAAATATAAGTGTAAAATAGAGGATTACAAAACACAGGAAAAAATAAGAATGGGGTCCCTTTTGAAACGCAGGATAGGAAAAACACAGGAATATGAAAAACGTAGGAATTGAAGTTGTATGTTTTTCTAATTCTACAGGAATTGAAAACACAGGAAATGGAGAGAAGAGCCCTTTGATTATACCACATGATACCCTCAACAAAGGAAAGTTTCACAAGAGGTCTAACCTCTTGCTTATTTTTCTATGGAATTGATCATAGAAATGCAATCCTATGGAAGTTTTCCTATCATCTTCCTATGAATCAAAGGGCAATATAGGAAAAAATCCTTAGGAAAATGAATCCTCCAAAATTCCTTTGCTAATCCTCCATTTCAAAGGGGCCCTCGACCGTTTAATTGAACCACAGGAAAAACGCAGGAATTGGATGAGAGAGATAGACTCAAAAGAAAAGTTACCAAGAGGTTGAAGCTCTTGCTAAATTTTCTCCAAAATCTCTATAGTATCGTCCATTTCATAGGATTTTCAAAGGATTGGATAGGATTCGATCCTTTGTTTCAAAGGGCTTTATAGAAAATTTTCCTATAGGATTGAAATCCTCTAAAATTCTTATGTTTTTCCTCCCCGTAAGAGCATCTCCAACAGTCTTGCTAAATTTGCCTCTCTATTTACTCATTTGGCCAGCCCTCCAACCCATTTGGAGAGCCCTCCAACCCATTTGGAGAGTAAAGTTTAGTTTTCCCTGCAACAGTCTCTCCAATATACTCTCCAAACTGACGGTGGGACCAGTATGTCAGTCTCACCTTAGCAATAGTCTTCCCAACGAGCACCGGTGGCGATTCGGTTGGCGAGCTCCGGCGGCGCGGAGAGGCGGCGACCCAGCGGGCAAGCTCCTGCGGCAAACCGGCGGTCGGGAGGTCGCGACTCGACAGGCTGGCTCCGGCAGTAGGGAGAGGCGGCGACCCGGCGGTAGGGAGGCCGCGACTCAGCGAGCTAGCTCCGGCTGCGTGGAGAGGCGCACCGGCGGTGATTCGGTCGGCGAGCTCCGGCCGCGCAGAGAGGCGGCGAACCGGCGGTCGGGAGGTCGCGACTCGATGGGCTGGCTCCCGCGGCAGGGAGAGGCAGTGACCCAGCGGTAGGGAGGCCGCGACTCGGCGAGCTAGCTCCGGCTGTGCGGAGAGGTGCACCGGCAGCGCGGAGAGGCGGCGAACCGGCGGTCGGGAGGTCGTGACTCGACGAGTTGGCTCCAGCGATAGGGAGAGGCGGTGACCCGGCGGTAGGGAGGCCGCGACTCGGCGAGCTGGCTCCGGCGGTGTGGAGAGGCGGCGGCCTGACGGCTAGGCTCCGGCAGCGCGGAGAGGCGGCGAAGGGAGCCCGCACCTCGGCGGGCTGGCTCCAGCGACGCGGAGAAGTGGCAGCCCGATGGGCGGAGATCGCGTGGAGGCGGTGGAGGTCGCGCGACTGGCCAAGTCCGGCAGGGGCGGCGAGGCTAGCAGTGGCGCGGAGTACACCAGTCGCCGCGGGCTTCCTCCGCGCGTCGTCGTCGTCGCCGTCGCCGGAGCGGATGGTGGTGGCGGCAGCGGCCGGAGCAGGTCGCCATGGCGTCACACCAGACGTCGTCGTCCCTCGCCACGGCGGCACTCGAAGCCGATGGTGGTTGGCTCCAGCACTGGAGCACGAGAGAGGACGGGATTATTGACGTGGGGAAGTGAATCCATGTGGGGCCCACCATTTGGCGATGCGTTTTTGCCTAGCCAAAGTTGGCTATCCGGTTGGCCAGCATGTTGGACCTCTTTTTTACGTTTGAATGGCCAAAATTTAACTTGGAGAGGCTGTTGGAGATGCTCTAAGTCTTGAAAGTTTCGAAACATTTGCCATTAGAAAATAGTATTAGCTTCATCCGTTTTATAAAAAATCAATCAGTATCAGATATGACACTTAGGTACCTTATTAAAAATCGTTTTAACAGTTGAGGGATGCGTATGGTATTGTTGTCCAGAGACAAATTTCAGACTCAATGATAAATTGAGGACCTAAAGTGAACTTATTCATTCGTGCAAACGTTTAACAATCACCTCTTTGCGACTTCCTCATATGTCTTCTCTAGTGTGATGATCAGATTCTCCTCAATGTTTTGGTAGGGATTGCCACTATGTAAGGATTGTTGCAAAAACCATGGGATTACTAAGAAAAACTGAGAGATTTAAAGAACCGAGAGGATTATCACACGAGATAACCGTGATAATTGAGGAGATAACTGCATCGGTTTAGTAGCGATAGAAACTCATGAGACGTCGTTAGTACAGTAGCAGTCATGATACACATAGGAGGGGAAACTGCCACGCTGATTTCAGAACATCGAGCGGTTGGTGCTAATCGATCTGAGAGAAGTATGAGAGTGTTGAGATAACTTATATCTCCGGTTAACTTCGTATCATCTTTAGACAACTACTTCAACACCATATATGTTGCTCCCTCCAATCTAAAATGTAATAACTTTTAGCAAATTATTTGGACAAAGGTATGTCTAGAAACATAGCTGAAAATTACTATATTTTAGGACGGAGGTAGTATATGCAAGAAAAGAGCAAGACAACTCTGATCACTTGGAAAAACTATGCTCAAATGTCTCTTCCATTTCTCTCATCAAAACAAAAGGTAGCTCGGTTGATGAAATTTATACCCGTTTCTATATTTTGAGGTGTTTTTACAATGATCTTTACTGGTAGTAGAATTAATCTAAATCATCTATATTTTCTAATCCGAAATATCATACTCCTTCTGTCCTATAGATCAGACGAGACATTTCATATTACAACAAACCCGTCCCATGGTATAGCAATGAATCTGGATATTTCATAGTATATTTAGTTCTAAGTTGTTATATTATGAGACCGAGGGAGTATATATTATACACCACCTCAACTACTGGAAGTTGAATTTTTTTTACTGATAGTAAAGCTCATAAATCAATGGCTAAAGATTATTTTCACTGATGATAATGTTATTAATAGAATGCACTACTAGTAAAAATCACCCACCACCGTGTAGATACTCTTCTATTTTACCTTCAATTCACCTGTTAGGCAATGGCTGACGTAGTTGGAGGTAGACTAGAGCCATATCATACAGCACACATGAAACAATACAACCACAGAATCAACATCACGAGAGAAAACATGTAGTATCATTCATTTCCCTGCAGGATCAAGACAAATACCTCGAGCTGGACAGTTCTCTTCTCTCGACACACCCATTCTGGAGAGGACCCATCTGACCTTTTCACTACGGGCCACATGCTGGCATGGCGAAAAAGCCATCGCCAATCCGCCATTGGTGTTCTCAGCCTCAAGCCCAGCCTTCTGGCCAGTACTGCCTACTTGCCTTCATCCCAAGGACTCATCCTCCTCCACTTCTTTCCCTCCTTGTTCTCTTCCTTATATGAATGCAATCACCTTTCAAAAAAGATTGAATGCAATCTTTGTTCTTCATCGATCATAGTAGTTTGGGGCTGTCCAGTGACAGAAGAGAATGCCTTCTTCAATTATGGCAGAAAGCTCTCTGGCTTGTCCTGTTTCCTGACGTCGGAATGGCTTATGCACAGAAGACCATGTATTAACATGTAACTATGTAAGGCAAGGAAAATTCAGAACATTTTGGATTCAATTCCACTGTGAAGAAAAAGGGAAATTTCAGAACATCACCTTGTATAGTCATAATATTGAGTTTCAAACCTATGATACCTAGAAATTTCAGAGCACTTATTTTGCAGGAACCATACTTTTCCTAAGATTTGCAGAACAAAATTTCTTGGCTTCAAACTTGGAAGAGTTATTCGGAGAACAGATACTGGTGATGTGCAGTGTAACACATCCACAGCATGCTCCACCAGAGCAAAGATGTGGAGCTCATATTTAAGGCAATCCCTCTCTTGAAACATACGCCATTTCTCTCATTTGTTTTCACTTGAAAACGGCAGCTTATTTACCTACCCTACCCTGAATTGACAGACTCTTAAAATCATAATTTACGCATTGCTAATGAGCCTAATTAACCATGTTCCAGATGTAAGTTTTTTCATCTCCTTGGTCCATACTTGGAGGTTATACTTACTCTCTGGATTCACCAATGAAGCCATTCAATTTCAGGCTCCAGCAGTGGTATACTTGGAGGAGGTTGTACTCTTCAGCAGAGCCATTCTCTTTATCATGTTGTAGTCTCTTATCTCTGAACTTCTCTGAAACTTCAATTCCATCCTTGAACTTTCTCTGAAATAGCAGGAGCAATTCAGCACTCATGATCATTTCTTCACTTCCAGCTATTGCATGAGATTATATTTCACTAGCACTCATTTCTGACAAGACAGAACGATTTAGAAGCGAGATTAATTAGTAAGGGAGTGATTGGCTGATTGCACTACAGTGAGAGCAAAGAAACCCTGACCTCATCAGGATAAACCAAGGTCTGAAGAGAAGGTTAGCTGGGACTCTTGTTACGTGCGCAGCCAGCAGCCGATAAAGCAGGAAACCGTGATAGGATCCCGTTTGGAAGCGTTCGTAGCTGACAAAATGTGAGCCCCATAAGCTGTCAATTTTTAGCCTGGACTCCTTTCTCTACTTAAGTAGAAATGCGCCGTTGTGTTCAACCGTTTTTCTTGCGTGCCCAAAGGGAGATACCCTGATGTCGACACGAATCCTCTCCATCGGCTGTCGTTTCAACTGTTGCTGATGAACTCTAAGAGAACCGCAGAAATCGATTGATGCCATCTCTTTTGTTCTTTCTTTGCGTATGATTCAAAGAACATAACACGAAGCGATGTACGGGAATTTAGCTGGTTTTTTTCATGAGATTGGTTATCAAACATTCGCTCAATTCATTGCAACAAGTACTTGTTTAGCTGGCAGAGTTGAGACTTGAGAGTCCCCATCGATTCAACCTGAGGCCAAGAGATTCCAAGGTCACTGTTGGAATCCACATTATCTTTCGGCTTGATCCTAACCTTGGTTGGGAATCACTCACAGTTCCATCCAGGAGAACGGATGGCTCACGACACCAATGCAAAGTCGATAATAATTCGATTTATTTCATAAGGAGCACAAATGTGTGCATGGCCTCCATGTTCTTGCAGGTCTCACTCAGCTAAAAAAAGACGGCAACATCATGCTCGTTATCTAATCAATGCATATATAGCAGAGATCGATCGATCGATGTCATCCGGCCGTTAGCTTCAGCAAATTAAATTATGCGTGTGTAGGATCTTACTTCACGGCTCTTTTGATCTTGGACCTTCTTGCTGGTCATTAATTGTGATTGCTACATGTATTTTCTTTAAGGCTAATGTGATCGTTTGCTCACTGTTAATCCTGCCTAACTCGTCTTGGTTTTTACATTTCATTTAGTTTCCTGATGCTGCATCTGCTTCTATATAAACCCCTTGCTGCCTTGCAGCTTTTGGCCAAGCAAGAGCTAAAAGCTAGCCGTTGTGTGAGGGACTGAGAGCTAGTGGTGCACTAGCTGGCTGTGAATCTAGCCATGGCTCTGTCCACGTTCGTCCTTGCCGTTCTTGTCATGAGCGGCGCCGCCGCCCTTGGCCGCGAGCTCGCCGGCGACGGCGCCGCCGCCGCCGCGGCGGCCGACGTGGCCATGGCGTCGAGGCACGAGAAGTGGATGGCGAAGCACGGGAAGACGTACAAGGACGAGGAGGAGAAGGCGCGGCGGCTGGAGGTGTTCAGGGCGAACGCCAAGCTGATCGACTCGTTCAACGCCGCCGCGGAGAAGGACGGCGGCGGCGGCCACCGGCTGGCCACCAACAGGTTCGCCGACCTCACCGACGACGAGTTCCGTGCCGCCAGAACCGGCTACCAGCGCCCGCCGGCGGCCGTTGCCGGCGCCGGCGGCGGGTTCCTGTACGAGAACTTCAGCCTCGCCGCCGCGCCGCAGAGCATGGACTGGAGGGCCATGGGCGCCGTCACCGGCGTCAAGGACCAAGGCTCGTGCGGTACGAACTCCGGCGAACACGAACAAACTAATGATTACTTGATCTTGCATGCGTCAACTGGTAATTACGTAATTGAATCGAATAATCACCTGATAAAATTTGCAATTAATTAACTGGGCGTGCGTGCATGGCATGGCATGACACGTACCCGCGGTCAAACGGAAAGGTAAAAATGGTCAATCCAAGTAAACAGAAGATTCTACCGAGCCAGTCTACAGAACAGTCTACGCATGCACTTTTAGTCAACTCGAGAGTCAAACATAGCTAAAACTGTTTGACTAATATGTGCTACTAATCACAAAGAAGAAGCTGTATTAGTGAGCTGATGGATTGACTAATTAATCAATATATGCATGGGCATGCAGGTTGTTGCTGGGCGTTCTCGGCGGTGGCGGCGGTGGAAGGGCTGGCGAAGATCAGGACGGGGCAGCTGGTGTCGCTGTCGGAGCAGGAGCTGGTGGACTGCGACGTCCGCGGCGAGGACCAGGGCTGCGAGGGCGGCCTCATGGACACCGCGTTCCAGTACATCGCGCGCCGCGGCGGCCTCGCCGCGGAGTCGTCCTACCCGTACCGCGGCGTGGACGGCGCGTGCCGCGCCGCCGCTGGGCGCGCGGCGGCGTCCATCCGGGGGTTCCAGGACGTGCCGTCGAACGACGAGGGCGCGCTCATGGCGGCCGTGGCGCGCCAGCCGGTGTCCGTGGCCATCAACGGCGCCGGGTACGTGTTCCGGTTCTACGACCGCGGCGTGCTCGGCGGCGCCGGGTGCGGCACGGAGCTGAACCACGCCGTGACGGCGGTCGGGTACGGCACGGCGAGCGACGGCACGGGCTACTGGCTGATGAAGAACTCGTGGGGCGCGTCGTGGGGCGAGGGCGGCTACGTCAGGATCCGCCGCGGCGTCGGCCGCGAGGGCGCCTGCGGCATCGCACAGATGGCCTCCTACCCCGTCTGATTATATAAACAAAACACACGCCGATCAACCACGTCATTAATTGATTCGATGGATCAGTTTCAAAATATAAGTCATTCTAACATTTTCTACATTCATATTAATGTTAATGAATCTAATATGAATATAGAAAATACATGAATGACTTACATTATGAAACGGAGGAAATATAAATATTAATTAAGATGTGTATATATATGTGCTCTGGTATGTATAGCGACACTGCACCGTGTCAACATGTATTCTGAAATCTGAACCGGCCGGCCCGTGCAGGAAGTCTGCAAAAGTTGGACGCGCGGGGCTGTACGTAGCTGTGTGTATATTGTATAGTGTATATACTACTTACCATGATGAAGTTGTACAAAGTGAAATATGTTACCATATTACCGTACAGTGTACACAGTCTTCACTAGTACTTCTTTCTTAGGTCTCTCACAGTGCGTCTAGGTGGACTGTGCCTTAGTCCCGCCACGTAGGTTTTTTTCCGCCGTGTCGCTTGGACCCGCGCCTTAGCTAGGGTGCTCGTGACCAAACTAGGCGGCGCGAAACCTCGCCTGTTCGAGGGCGTGCACGGAGGAATCGACGCGAGACACGTGCGCTGTGGGCGTCATTCCCTCGCCGTCCGGTGCTCTCGCGCGGGATTCCCCTGGCGAAATCCCCTATTCACCCTCCCAAAAATCCCCTCCCGCCACAGATCGGATTGGAAGAGAAAAGGCAAGAAATTCTTGAGGATTGGAAGAGAAGAACAGATCGGATTCAACAAGATGAAAAAGAAAAAGAAAGCAAAATCATCATAGCAAAATCATCCAAACCAACAGATCTGGACATGCAAGAAAAGAACGGCGGCGGCGACTCCTGCTTCTGCTCCTCTTCTTCGTGGCGGCGGCGGCTGCCGCGCTCGCCGCGGCGGCCTGTGTCGCGTGGCTTCGCCGCTCCCCTGGGTCCGGCGGCGCTGCTCGAGGTCCCCCTCGGCAAGGTCGCCACGGTGGAGGCGTGCCCCGCTCGAGCCTTTCCCCTCCTCCGCCGGCCGCTCGTCCGCTCCCGCCACCGGCTGCTTGTCCGCTCCTGCCGCCGGCCGTCCGTTGGCGCCACATCGTCCACTCCCACCGCTCCCGAGTCCGCGCGGGAGGAGAAGCGAGCGGCGCGGTCAACGGCAAGGCGCACGGCGGCGGCGTCCCCGGCGTCCGCCGCGAGGGAGGAGAGCACGACGAGGGAGGAGAAGGGAGGAGAAGGCGAGGCGAAGGGGAGGAGAAGCCGAGAAGGCGATTTGCTGAGGGTGGGGGTAGGTGAGGAAAAATAATTTGTGTGCGCTACCCGTGTCCTTGCGTAGGGTGCCGCCCACTGCGGGCTTCGTTTCTTTTATCTGTGTCTCTATCCAACTAAGCCACACATATATGGGTACTTGCACTGTGGGGTGGGTGTTTTGGACTAACTTTTTAGGCTAGGGGTACGGGCCCCATAGCTTGCACTGTGAGAGGCCTTACTACACCGCGATGCGCGATCTTGTTCTGGCTGGCAGCTTTTTTGCCTCTGGTGCTCTACATGATAATGGTTGAAAGCGATAGCATTTCTTTCGGAGACTATTCTCACTCAATTGAAAATTAACTATATCTATCAATATATTTATCAATTCATCTGTCAGTATTGACAACAATCTGACCATTTCTTTTGACGTCGTGTTGTTATTGACACCGAACATTTGAATTGATAAATATAGTTTCTTCTATATAGATAAATTTGTTTATATATCTTTATCTAATAAAAAATACATAAGAATTTCGGTTTAACCGTCGCCGATGATGGCCGTCTAGCGAGCTTCCCTAGCATTCTGAGGCTGTGTTCGTCATTTGTTGTTCCCAGCCAGAACAGTCCGTACGAAAAATGGAGCGACATATTAGCGCATGATCAATTAAGTATTAGCTTTTTTTTTCAAAAATATATTAATTTGATTTTTTAAACAACTTTCGTATAAAAACTTTTTGAAAAAAACGCACAGTTTAACCGTTTGAAAAACGGACGTGCGGAAAACGAGGGAGATGGGTTGGGAAAAGTGGGTGCCGAACACACCCTGAGGCTGTGTTCGGATGTACGTATTACCAACCCAGTGCACACGGAAAACAGAGCGGTCCATTACTGCGTGATTAATTAAGTATTTGCTATTTTTTTTAAAAAAAATGGATCAATATGATTTTTAAGCAACTTTCATATAGAATTTTTTTTAAAAAAAATAGATCAATATGATTTTTAAGCAACTTTCATATAGATTTTTTTTAAAAAAAATTACACCGTTTAACAGTATAAAAAGCGTGCACGCGGAATACGGGGGAGATGCAGCCTGAGTCCGTCCTGATTCTAGGAGACGGTATCCCGTCCTTCCCGTTTCACGTGCACCAGCTGCGAGGGGGAACGCCCGCTGCGCGCGGGCAAAATCGCTCGCTTGCGGCCTTCTGGTCCATCATTCGTACTAGCCCCACACAGACCACAGCGGCGGCACGCTGCACGCACGCAAAATTTCCACCGGAAAAGCCCATAAAATCCAGGAAAACGTGGTGGTTTTGCCAACCTCCCGCCCCTCGTCCAAAAAAAAGGCCCGGAAATAAAAGCGGATTGGAATCTGGTGGCTCCGGGTCCGTGCGGTGCGGGTGCGGCTCGCTCGACTTGGCGTCGTTGGAGTCCACCTGACCTCCTGTCCTCCACCGCCCGCTTCCCCTCGCCTCGGTCGTCTCGGCTTCGTCTACTCGTCTCGTCTCGAGTCCCCGACTCGGAAAGTCCAAAGCCCCAATCTTTCCGTTCCTCCCCCTCCTCCTCCCGGATCGGAACAGGAGAGCGGGAGCTCCGATTCGGTAGCTTCCCCCGTCGATTCTCCCCGCCGTAAGCGCGATCCCCCCATTTCCACCTCTTTTATTTCTTTCCGTTCTTGCTCGATCCGGTTCTTGGAAACTAGGGTTCTTGGGGGTTGGGATTGGGATTGGGGTTGGTTTCTTTGCATTTCGGGGGGGGGGGGGGGGGGGTTCCGATTGACCGAATCGAGGTTTGTTCGCAGGATTTTTGCCCTAGCCCTGGCTGACGCCGCTGCTGCTGGGCTGGGGGGCGCCGCCAATCGTTCGCGATGTCGTGGGGGCGATTCCACCGCGCGCCGTTCCCGTCGGGGATCCCGGCGATGACGAGGTGCTCCAGGCACCAGCCCCCCGCGCCGCCCACCGTGGTGGTGATCGATGAAGACGACGACGACCTAGGCGACGGCCCCTCCGATGAGGAGGTCTTCATAATCGATGGTGATGCGGCGAAAGGCCGCGCGTCTTCTGGGTGCAAGACTAAGAGAGGGAACAGCTCGTGTAGTAATGTGATTAACTTAGATGATGATGATGAGGAGGAGGAGGAGGGTGGTGGTGGTGATAGGGCAGGACCCAGCTCTGCCGGTGCTGCCGCTGGTTCTCCAGCAGTGACGACGCCCGGCCGTGTCTCCCCGAGAAACAGATATGGACTGGATTATGTTTCTGACAGTTATGAGAGTGATTCGTCTGAAGGACACTCCGACGGAGATGATGGCTCGGATTGTGAGATTCTTGATGACGCCTCTGGGTCAGCTCGCAAACAGTGGGAGAAGGCTGCTTCGAGGAAAAGCATGCCTCAAGGTTTCCGGAAGAGTACATCCACATCAAGTGCCGAGTCAAGTACACAGCCAGATGAAAGTGAGGAGAATGATGCAGAATGCGATATAAATGAGTACATCAGGAAGTATTTTAGTGAAGATGTATTGAAGAAAGGTGGACCAATCAGTACAAGCGGTGCAAATGCTAAACCTTCAGTTCCAGATGCCCATGATTGTTCAAAGGGCAATGCTTCCAATGCAAATGAAGCTGAAGACTGCAATGCCACCTCCAGAATTGATCCTGACCCAGCTTGTAATGACGAAGCAACTCATTCCCAAAATGGTTCTGTGCCTGAAAAAACTGCAGAAAGAAGTCAATCTCCACACATAGATGAAACCTTTGAACCTGAACAATGTACAGACTACAGCTTTGTCTCTGCCAACAGGGTTTTTCCTGCATGCTCCTCAGCAAATTGGAAGGATCAAAGTCCTACATTTGTCAGTACTCCTGAAAAGCTGGATGAAAAGTTATCTGATGGCACATATGCACGGAAGGATGAAACACTAATAGATGCTCACAATAAAAGTACCACAAAGAACAAAGAGATGTGTCCTGAACCAGATAATGGTTCTCTCGATGGTCGACTAACAGAAGATCCACCTCTTTCTAGCAGATGCGACTGCTCAAAGCAATCCGAGAAAAAATCGGCACATTTAGATGCAAACTGTTGTGCATCTGCTGCTTCCTCCAATAAGAATCCTTCTGCAAATGTCATATTGGGAGGTTGCATGCCACCTCAGAAGGATTTAGTTGATGGTCCAGAAAAATCAGGCCAACCTGCCGTGGCTCAGGTTGCTGCAGACATTCAGGATGGTCTAATCGGTGCACGTGAAAAGCACAAAGAATCCGATGAGTACAAACGGGCACAGGAGGAGGAGTGGGCATCCAGACAGCGTCAACTGCGAATACAGGTACGATTTGTGCCGCTTTTAGTTTAATTGTTCTAAAGTTATACAAGAAGGATGTGAACTGCATGAATATTAGAATGTAAATAAGTTCAGTGTTAATCTCAATGAGCATTATGCTATTGCACTATATTGTTGGAATGTTTAGTTTTGAGGACATTGCGGCATGATAGTGTAATCACAAAACAAATAAATAAATGGATAGCAGGCTGAGGGAAGCAAGTAGCACCTACATGCAATTCATGATGTTTCCTTTTAAAAATTATTGCAGGCTGAGGAGGCACAGAGGTTGCGAAAAAGAAAAAAGGCTGAAGCAATGCGATTACTTGACATGGAGAAGAGACAAAAACAAAGATTAGAAGAAGTCCGTGAATCACAGCGAAAGGTATCTTGTTATAACCTCTAGCGTATTAGCAAACACTTGCATGATTCTCTATTGTCCGCCTATGTGTTTTCAAGAGCATTTGGTTGCTTCAATCTTTATGTGCTATTGTTTAATATTTAGATTGTTCCTTTATTTTGTTGAATCAGAATGAAGCGGATATACAACTAAAAGAAAAATACCGAGGGGTGGTGAGATTGGAGCTCGAAAGTATGGAAAGAAGATACATTGATATGGCTTCTATATTGCGTGCATTAGGCATTGCTGCTGAAGGTGGTGAGGTATATTATTCATATTCAACCTATCTCTTCCTTGTAGTAGTAAAGTTATTAATTGCTGCTGTTTTTCTTCTTGTTATATCTTATCTGTCTCTCCAGTACAATATAAAATGCTAGTATCCCTTGTCCCTTGCATATTGCTGTTAAACTCAATACCTTATAACAGTAAGCTTCATGAACAGTTGTATGTTGTCCATTTCATGATATCCATCTCATTCACGGACCAACCACTAATTGATCTCTAATAAAAAGATGAGGAATTGCCATACATTTTCATGCTAAATTGCAATCTGGAACCACTTAACCTCTTCTGAAACACTATGATGGACTGAAATTTTACTCCCTATGTTGAATTTTTAGGCACCTCTAGATTTCATCTTGTTGATTGAAACGCACACACAATAAACTATGCAAAATTTGTATACACCATTTCTGGCTATCAACTTCCATGCTTTACATTCACATCCATGCAATTCAGTTGCAAACAACACTATTTCGCATGGAGAGAACTATATTTAATGCAGATTATTGCGTTATTACTACAAGTAGTTTGGTTTTTACCTTCCTTTGATAGTCTCTGCTTAGTTCAAAGCCGGGTAACAAATTTTAATAGAGGGAGTGATAATTATACTTGATTTACTAACGGATAAACATTGTGAAGCAACATTTCTTAGGAAAATTGGCAAACATTATGAAATGGAAGTAGTTATGTTTTATGTACCATATGAAACCAACTTACGAATCTGTTACTTCGAGTGAATTAACTTATTACTTGTTATTGTTGTGGCATATGCATAGATAGATATATGCACTTGGAAATTGTATTTCAATTTTCTATGGAGAAATCCCAAATTCGTTTGTTTATTTATAGAAGAGATAGCTTCTCATGACAAATTTTGGAAGATTTGCCAATTATTGCCTCTGGCAATCTAGGCGAGATCAATTACCACCTTATGCCATGTTCTGATATAAGTTCATAAAATGATACCCATAAATGTAAATAAGGAATTATTGATCTCTTCCCGCTGACAATTGTTTAATATGAAACTTTTTTCAGGTTAAAGCTGCTTACAAGCAAGCTCTTTTGAAATTCCATCCGGACAGAGTATCAAGAAGTGATATGTATCAACAGGTCAAAGCAGAGGAGACATTCAAGTTCATTTCACGCCTGAAAGAGAAGATGCTTCGAGTTTAATACTAGCATATCCCTGTTCAGTTAAATACAACCTCTGACCAATATCTTTATGTTAAAGTTGTGGCTAGATTAATTTATTCATAGGCTGAGTTCTCATCAGCCGGCACATAGTTCCACAGTTCTGAATGCCATTCTTAGAAGACTAATGCTTAGCATTCGTTATCCTCTCTTGAGAATTTTTAGTGGTAGGGGAGTCAGCAGTGACAGTGAGCTTGGGCGCCTTGGTATATTTCTTGGTTTTTGTAATGGGTAAAATGTTTGTATAGGAGTGACGGCAGAAGATCATTATATACAAGATGATCTCCCATTATTTAACTGAGAATGTCACGCCTTATTTTCTTTGTAAACAGTCGAACGATTTATGCCTATCAACTTGTTCGCATACAATTTATTCGTTATGCAGTATGCGCTCAATCAGCTCTGCCGGTGATCGGACAGATTCAGCTCCAATCAGCAAGATAACGGAGACTTATTGTCTACAAAGTTTATTTATCTTACAGTAATCACACTATGCACAATGCTGAAATTTCGCTATTTAAGTCACACATGACACCAATGGAGATGGTTGGAAACGGGAAAATTTGTTCATGCTACTCGCATATATTACATGGGTAAATTACTGGTGGGAGGAAGACGGTGCTGGACGAAGCCAAAATATACACATTGCAGCTTGCTACTAATGCTGAATTTAGGGCTAAAATGCTTTCCTCGTCTCGCAACCGCAAGATGACAATAGTACTAGTAGTAAACCAGAGCAGCAGGCGACCGGACCGGGTCAGGTTGCAACTTGTGATTACTGGTATGGATCTGAAGCCTCCTTAGCCGTTGATGTGGCTCAGCATCCATGGTGGCAGCCCAATGCGAACATGCTGTGGCTGCCCTGCTGCTACATCCTCTATCCTTTCGCCAGCTGCTGCAGGGTAGTTACTGTGGAACGAATAAGCACACCTCTTAGCTACATCACCAACCAAAATGACAAGAAAAAGCCCGCTGGCGTTTTGGGGGAAAAGGGGCAGATTTGGCGTGTTTTCAGACAAAAAAAAGCGTAAAATTCTGAGGTGCCTAAAAAAGGTTTGATAGTTATTGGTTTATACAACCTTGTTAGAACTTTCAGTTGTTTGGTGGTTGGTGCCAAAATATGCCCCTATTAAGTTGTTGGTATTTTTAATAGTATTTTAGCTAATGTTTGATTTGCTATTAAAATATAGTGATAACATATATAAGTTGACAAAAAAATGTAGCACTTCCAATATTTGTCTAGGTTTTAGTATCGTCAATATTTTGATATGGTAGTGAACTAAACGAGCCATTTAATTTTGTTTTCTAATAAAGCTGGATCTAATGATCTTTAGTCCAAAAGGTTATTCGTCTGTGCTACATAAGGACGAAACTAACTTCAGGCTGCTAGTTACTTACCTGATATTAGTTGTTGGAAGGGCTTCCCTCATCATGAAGGAGGATGATGAGGAACTTGTTTGAGGTTGTGTCTGGTCCCATTGCACTTGTTGCTTCTGGACTTTCTGCTTCTCCACCAGCTGTAGGAAGGAGCAAGGGTTCTGTCAATTTAACTTGATTGATGTTAAACAAACCAAGATCAGCTGAAGCATGGAAACTAGGGGGCATCAAGGCTAGCAGCCTACTTCTTTCTGTAGGACCTTATTCTCCTCCTGCAGTGACTTTTCCTGCAGCAAGAATCCGGCGTGCATGTTAGAAAATGAAAGTGTGGCAGCACTTGCAGTTGCAAGCATGGCGGGAACTTAAAATAAGAGTATGAAACATAACACGCGATGGTATCAACTGGTGGCCGGCCAAAGATTTCTCGAGTTTTGACAAGGTTATTTCTAGCAAGTCCCAGTACTCAATTAAAGGTCTAACATGGTTGACATCATTACCTTCCGTTGAAGCTCGTTAATGGACTCGAGCATTAGTTGGCTCTGCACATAAAGGAGATTTGTAATTGTCAGCTCGTAAAACATACAGGACATCTATATTTAGCTGTATAAAAACCATATAAATTTTGCACATATTGTTGATATCAGCCTTGAATAATTCTCATCACAAAAACCACCTTTCTGGATCTGATATGTTTCAACGAATTTTCCAGCTGCTGCTCCAGCTGCTGCAGCTCTTTGAGATTCAAAGATTCAAGATCCTCTCCCATGAGGTGCCTGCAGGATTTAAGGCGAACAATTTTATGTCAACAGTGTATAGTACATAATGTCATAATGGCACCAGTTGTGAGTAGTTTCCAATTACTTTTGACATTTCTGTATTGTCTCAACCTTAGCCTTCAGTTTCCTATATTCGTGGCACCAGTTGCCCTATACAAGCAAGCATAGAAGATTTACATTAATAAATTTGAGTAAATAGGAAGTATCACAATACTATTCATACATTAGCTGATATTTGAAAAATTGCCAGGAAGAACTGATTGTGCAAATGATTGTGCCCTTTGGAGTACCTTGAATTTCTATATTAACAAGTGTAACTTTAATCGATTTTGGCACTGCATATAGCTAAAACTGTGGACACCTAGAACTGCAAGATACCTCCGTGGAGAATTGCTTAGGTACAGTGTATATTGAATAAATGGATTTACTTCAGTGTGCTTGCAGTAAAATATGATTAACTTTGTCCCCCACTCCACACTTACCTTTTCTTCTCGACACTCATCAAACTAAATTTACTGGTGGATGTACAGTGACCTCCACAATTCTAAGCACAGAATCACTAATATTACAAGTTTAGAAATTGAATGTGCTGAAGAGTATACAATAGTGCCATCCAAAATCTATATAGAGAAAAGCTCTAAGCAGATAGTGCATGTTAGGAAAGGGAACTATAATGTATGTTTCCTTGACAATTCATCAGCGTGATAACTATATTATCTACTATCTCCAAAGTAGCAAACATTTCTAGGAATGATAACAGGGTTACAGTCTGCCTAGCTAGTTCAGCTTTTTGTAATATCTTGATTAGAAAATTCTCAGTCTCACTCTTTATGGTATGGAAATATGACTTACCACTGTCTGCATAATAACTACATTAGTTCAGTCAACAATGTTCATACACAGCAACTTCTTACAAAAAATATTGCAAACGAAGAATATGCATGTCTACATGGGGGATGCTAATTGGCGAGCGCAAGTCAGTTACGGAACTGGCGCGCGCGCCAGCTGGCGGTCCCACGCGATTTTTTTCCTTTTTTTTTGTGTTTCCTTTTTTTCCATCTTTTTCGTTTTTTTCTTTTTTTCGCTATTCTTTCGTGTTTTTTCTGATTTTTTTAATTGTTAGGATACGTGTTTTCAAAAATATTTGAGCTGAAAATTTTCAAATCTTAACTTGAAAGTTTTTCAATCTGAACTTGAAAGTTTTTAAATCTAGGCTTGAAAGTTTTCAAATCTCGAGTTGAAAGTTTTCAAATCTGGGTCGAAAGTTTTCAAATCTAAACTTGAAAGTTTTCAAATGTGGACTTGAAAATTTTCAATCGCGAGTTGAAAGTTTTTGTCAAATCTAAACTTGAAAGTTTTCAAATCCGGTCTACATGTATCTAGCCATAAAAGAACTTCTGATTTTGGAGTACACCATTAGTCCATCAACCCCAACTAAAGAGTAAAGATTATTCGTAACAAATAGACGAATGGATCTTTTTAATAGCATAATTGACTATAGTAAGTCCCAGCTAAATGAAAACAAGGATTATTTAAGGTTCCAAACTTCTGATGAGCCACGCCAAAAGTTCTGGAAAATGTTTATTTTGTTTTATTTGATGAAAAATATGTTTTGTGATATTCTCTGGCACACAAAATTCCATAATGAGTGTTGATGTAGTCATGCATCCAAAATTTTTTTTATAGTTTTTCATTAGGCAATAACTATGATTTTGTTCCAGTAAAATCCACAAAAGGTATATTGAATCATAGTGTAAAAAATGTTTGAATAAGAGGGAACTGGCAAAGCTGTATACGTGTAAACAAACATGGAAGATAAATTTGATCTAATTTGTGAACAAAATTTCACTTATGAAATGTAACAATACCACAATTTTTAATGATCTGACCTGAGAGAGAGAGCCTAATTAATTGCACCAATATAAAGAACAGTTCAGTTTGAGTTTTCAAGATTTCAGACAGCAAATAGGTTCAATTGGGCTGGGATGCCAAAAGGTCAGGACGCTATGTAATAAAAAATGGATATAATCTAATTTAGAATAAATCTACATATTTGATAAGTACATTGAAGTAAGAGATTACTGTTCAAAGAGATGTAAAGCAATATTTATTAAAAGTTGATCTACATAACAATGGAAAATTGCCATAAAAAATGATGCCTAATTGATTTATCCAACTTGAGGAGAGCTAAAATGTTGGATGTACCCGTCTTGAATGAGTCAACCGAAACAGGTGTAGTGAAAAGTTCAAAAAATAAACAAGATATTGAGATATGAGAAACAACAGAATTAGAGCTCTTTATTTTTACCTGAGTGTCAGATTCAGCTGAAATAAGGACCTTTTCTGCATAGGAGTAGCGCTCATAACGTTCAAGGATTTTGTCCATACTGTGAAAAATGAGGAATATACGTTTCATCATTTGAAATAATTGTAATAATAACTAAGCAGTATATATATTCTTCCATCTCAACAACAAATGCACATATGGCTGTACCTTTTCATATACAGGTCAGATACATACACTGTATTTATGATTCTGGTCTGTTTTTTCTTGAAGTCCATTTTTTTAAGAAAGGATAGGAATTTAACAGGAAACCTACTTTAGTTTCCAGGTTTAAAATAAAACGAAGGAAGAACAAGAAAGTTGCACAGGCGCGCACACACACTTCAAAATCTACTTGAGTGCAACCCCTTATGTTTTAACATGGAGTTGTTTTAGAAACTGCGTATGCAGTATTGTCAAAACGAAAAGGTGTATCACTGTAACATCCTAACTGAAGGATGCCCATTTCTTTGAATGTCTTAATAGGTAAGTTAGTGACTATCACTATGATGAGAATATATATATATAAGTAATACAAAACTAGATATTGTTATATATTTATGTGTTGAAGTAACTTACATATTGTGTGGGAATATAATATCAATACGATTTCACTTGCCATACATGTACTAACCAAAATCATAGGACTAGCAGCATCTAACAAAGGCCCTCAACTACTAATAATCTCTAGTTCAAAACATGAATAGGTTTCTCAAATGTCACAGTGGATATTATGACATGTAAATGCGTAACCCATAATAAAATGCCATTTGTTTTATTCAAATTCTTTTTTGCAATTATGTAAAAAAAAGTCATGCTTAAACTACCTTTGATGCTTAAAACACATCACAACAAAATAAATGACAATTACGTATTTTTTAATAAGACGAACGGTCAAACATATGTATAAAAGTCAACGGTGTTATACATTCAAAATTTAAATGGGGGTACTTCGTAGTGGTGTAAATAACAACACCTACATTTTGCAGTTTATTCTTATAAGAACTTATGTAAGATATAATACAGAATAGATTTGCCAATCTACTTCTAACACAAGAGTTGGATTAACACACCACCCCCCCACACACAGAACCCTAAAAAAACAATAAATTGTTGTATTTATGCAGTTCATGAAAACGGTTTTTTGGGCAAAGCTAACAATAAACATTTTCATATATCAGAATGATCAGCTTTTGGTGGTAGCACTGATATGGTTCAAGTTCTGAAACATTATTAAGTCTTACTCCATCCGTTTCATATTACAAGTCGTTTTGACTTTTTCCCAAGTCAAGCATCTTTACATTTGACCAATTTATAGAAAAAAAATAGCAACATCAACAATACCAAATTAGTTTCGTTAAATTTAATATTGAACATATTTGATAAAATGTTTATTTTGTGTTAGAAATATTTTTATTTTTTTCTATAAATTTAGTCGAACTTAAAATAGTTTGACTAGGAAATAAATTCAAAGTAACTTATAATATGAAATGAATTATAAATGGAGGGAGTAGCTTCATTGTTTGCTAAAGTATTTCCATGTTCTTGAGGCACTTTGAACAAGTTCACTTTATAACCAAAGGATATATACTTTCTACGGCATACTAAAATGTCAACCTTTCAAAAGGGTCTGTATAACCTTTTGGGGAAAGATAATATGCATATATATAGAAGGTATACTTCTGGGGCAAAGTCAAGGTAAACATGTAATACAAGCATACATGTCAAGAAAAGCTTAAGCAACTGAACTGTATCTCATTTTCGTTAAGAAAAAGAAATGAAACAGGATAGCAAGTATAACTATCTATAGAAAGAATTAAGGGGAAATACAACACCCTAGACTCTTAAGCAAACATAACTTTGTTGAAAGAGAACATATTTGCTTCTTATTCCTAGACAGGGTCTAATCAATGATAATCAAGTAAGATCACATGTGATATTGGGTTGTCTACATTAACTAAATGAATACTCTGCCGCGTTGCTGCGGGAAATTAAGTTGCATAATATGTACAAATAAGATGAAATATGAATATTAAAACTAAAACAAATTGATACTTATGAGTTTAAGGCCTAAAAATGATTGAGATTACTTGGTGTAATGAGAGAAGAAAGAAGAGAAAATTTGAACCATATATCTATTATCCAATGGCTAGAAATAATTGGGGTAATGTAGTCTAATAAGAGGAGAGAAATATCATTAACTACACTTAGTGGAGATGAACTATATAAGTATATAGGATAACTTGAAATTAATCAACCTATGGAAAATTAACAAAATTATTACAAAAATGAAGTGTCAAGAGAATTAATACAGTATTAATGCTTAAAAGATATTGTGAATAATGCAATCCAAACTGAAAATTTATCATTAGTCCCGGATATATACAGACGTTGCTACAGTTCAGTCAACAGCAGGAATCAACTCAATACTGTATAACCAAATAGCTGAACAGGTATATTATGCGGTTATGAGTTTGTATGTCCTACGCGAGTTGGACCAGTAGGCCTCCGAGCATAGTTAGACCAATTAATGCCCGCAAATATATATCCATTTTATTATTTTGGGCTAACTTATAAGAGAATATTTGTATTTTTCTGAATCAAGTAGACTGGAAGTCTGGAACCCTAATAGCGTGTGAGACAGTGAGAGCCAGAGTTAACTCATTGCCGACTCATCTATATACGGCTAGATGCAATACTACAAGAGTCTTGTTGTGAAAACAGCATGCAAGTCGCTGCGAGCTCTATTAATCAAAGCAGAGTTCTGAACTTCGTGCATTGGATTAAGATGGAGGAAACCAACTTTACAATTCTACTGCTTATAGTTAAAAAGAATTAAAATATCTCCCGAGTCACTTCAAATATGACTACTGTTTGTCTGTGTAGACGTTCATCGTCCAAAGAGCAGTAGGAGAGTATTTTACTACATTTGAAGTACGGAGAGTTTTCTAAATTGGCACCCAAACAAATATGAAAGAACTAGTGTCTTGCTACTCCTAAACGACAAGCATTTATAAATATTACCCATCGTACCAATGGAGTAGGCTCAATATTCTTATTGGCGCAGTAGGTAACTACTTGCTTAGCTTTAACAAGAAAGCCAGTCGATCTATTGCCTTGTGATGAATTGTAAGTGGTTGCATTTGCCGCTACGTATGCCAGCTTAAGGCATGCTAATTAAAGTAACATCTTAATTAAAGTTCGAAGAGGATTTGTCATGTTTCCCAACTAGGTTCATGAAAGCATCTGTTTAAAGCTAAATCTTGGAAAAGTCTTAAGAAGGATTAATTAGCATAACTACAGTACCCTGCAGGAACCTAATGGAGTTGATTTCCAAATAAGACGTTTAATGACGTACGAGAAACGAAAAAAAAATCAGATTAATCCATCGGCTCGTGTACTCCCACCCCAAACTTGATACCTTGAAATCCAAACACTGTTACCTCACGTGAAGCTCTACTCCTATGTCTTAACTCACTGATCAATGGTTAGAGTGAGAAGGATTTCAAAATATGTGATACTAATGACTCTTATCTAGAGATGTGGTTGCTAGCATTATGGGGATGCCCAACACACTACCCTTATTGGATTAAATCAGCGAGGAGTTAATTAAGTTAATTAGTCGTTCATTCATAGAATTAGAATAGAGTATAAGCTGATAATCACTGATCATATGGGGAGTCTGATTAGTAGATATAAGGATGCCCACAAAACTGAAGAAAATTTATAACAGCCAGATCAAACTCTATTCGTATGTAGTGAGGAAAAAGGAGAGATAAGAAAATTTTTAACTTAAAAAATATATAAGAACTGGAATTAACCATCAAACTCTAAGATTTGCATGTTGACTTAACAAAGCTTGCATAACAATGCATTAATAGTAAATCATTGTCGAAAACATCAAGAAGGATAAATATCCTTCAGATGATATGGTATACTGGAAGCATCCAACGTTTTGCTTCTTAGTTCTAAATTTCTAATGTCTGTTTCTTCAGGAACCATATGCACATCCCAAGAAGAACCTGACAGAAAAGGTAGAACCCAGCAACTAAAGCGCTAACTAGGATGAACCTTTAGCTTATAAGTTCTTTTTTTTCCTGTTAACTCCTCTCTACCTCTTACTAAGTCTTAACATCTTAACAGACCTCCGATGTAATGTTGTAACCTTTGTACCTCCCCTCTGAACTAAGAAAATCGAATGAGTTAAGTGGGAAACTCTCCCCCAAGGTGACTTTTCGATAAAAAAGAAGCAGCATGAAACCAGTCTGTAATCAGGCTAGCTAGAAGCATGGATGTTTCTTCAGAAACCATGTACATCTCAAAAAGAACCTTATAGGAAAGGTAGAACCCAGCAACTAATGAACCATTAGATTGAACTAATGACAGCCGGGAATTAAGAAGTAAAGATTAAAGGCCAGCCCTAGCTTATAAGTTTGTTCTAGTAAAATCTTTTCGTTCTGAAAAGCATGGCATGCATCAGCAAAGAGTCCAAGAAAGCTAGAGGCAGACGAACCAGCGAAAAGGGTTCCAACAAGTCACCAGCAGCTTAAGATATGAACTCCTCCATCTCCCGATGCATCCCGTTTCATCTTCTCCCTTAATATGCTTAGTTGCCTCAAGAGAAAGAGATGGCCAGGGAGAGAGAAAGAAGATCTAAACGAGCCCAGAATTAATATGGGGAATAGTGAAGAAAGAAGAGGCACACACAACACAAGCAGCAAGTTCAGTAGAATTTTAGATGAACACAAGCCAAGACCATTTTAATCCCCAAATAATCCCAGGTCCATCAAATCTACGTACTAGAGTTCCTAGCTAATCACCCCTCTCCCCTTTGGGTGCAAAGCTAGCTTGTCGCCAAGCAAGCAGCACCCATCGGCAGGGCCAAAAAAAAATTCCCCAAATAGCGCAGCAGCAACGCCCTCTCCAGCGAAAGCGGAGCATAAAATTACCCTCGTACGGGCACTGTAGCTACAGTGCACAGATGCAACGCATCTCACCTCACGCCGTCAGCTCAAAGCCTGAAATAGCAAAACACGCTGCCTCCTCCATCGCCGGCAAGCAATCAACAATCGCAGCAGAAATTCAAACAGATTATTGGGGATAACCCCGAAACACACGCAACAAAATTAATTCGAGCAATCAGGACAGATCGAATTAATCACACACAGAATTCAAAGGCAATCGATCGATACGAACAGAACGGAAACGGGAACACATCATGTAGCGCAAGGATTGCTCGATTAAGCGAAAAGAACTGAAAGCTTAGAGACAAGCGATGAGGATGAAATTTAATCAAGCACACGTACGTACGTACGTACCATGAGTCGGTGGCGTACTCGTAGAGCTTGCCCTTGGTGGAGAAGATGATGAGCGCGACCTCGGCGTCGCAGAGCACGGAGATCTCATTCGCCTTCTTGAGCAGCCCCGACCTGCGCTTGGAGAAGGTCACCTGCCGGTTGATCTTGTTCTCGATCCGCTTCAGCTGCACCTTGCCCCGCCCCATCTTCCTCCTGTTCTTCCTCCTCCTCCTCCTCCTCCTCCTCCTCCCTCCCTCCCTCTCTCTCTCTCTCTACCTCCAACCAAAATTAACCCTACCCACCTCGCTATCAGCGACGACCACTAGCCCTATAGCCACACCTATCCCCACACGGCAACTACTGGTGGTGGTGGCTGCTGGCTATCCGCCTATCCCCTAGCCCCGGCCCCCATCACGTGGACACGGCGAGACGGCGGCGGAATGCGTCGCGCGCGATGGGGGGGACCGATCGATCGATGGATGGATCGATCGAGTGGGGGAGACGACGACGACGAGGAGGAGGAGGAGGAGGAAATGGGGGGATTTTAAAGGGAGCGCGCGCCGGATCGTCGGAGGAGGAGGAGGCGGTTTGGCGATACCGGGGTGGTTTCGATCGCCTCCGCTGTCGAACGGCCATTGGGCGAGGCGGCGCCGGCCCGGGCCCCGCCTCCCGGCGACGCGTGCGTGCGTCGTACTCTCGTGGGCTTTTCTGGGCCGATCCTTTTTTGGGCCGTCTCGTCTGGCCAGGCGGTGGGGGTGGGCCATGGCTTTTCCTGCCCAATTAGGCCGCGGCAGCAATGCGTCGTGATGGGACGGGATGGCTCCTGGCTTGGCTTGGCTTGGGTCGGCCGCAAAACAGTGCCTGCGTCGTCTCGTCTCCCGTCGGCCCCGGCGAGGGGGTGTGCCCATCAATGGCGTCGCCTGTCGCTCCCAGAGTGGATGATTGCCTGATTGGCAGTTGGCACCCCTGCAGCTCTGCTTTGGGTTGAATGCAGCAAAGGCATTCGTTCTCTTTCTGCTGCTTTTGACCTTTGTGGATGAATGCATTTCCTCCGTATTAAAGCCTGTTTAGTAGATCTTCATCTCTTAAAATTTAACTTTAGGAGTTAAAGTTTAAAGTGAAGTTGTGTAGCGGTCTGAACTCAACTCCACCTCTCTAGTTTATTTTGTGATAACGCTCTAGCCAACTATATTTCTATTTTAGGTGTAGAAACTATTTGGTTGGACTCCAGCTATAGAATGAGTGGAGCTATAGCTAGAGCCATACTAAACTGGTCCTTAAATAGACTTCATTTTCGATCGCTTTAACTTTGTTCTTTCTTACCTATAATTAATCTGTAACTCAAAATTATTCCTAGGTTATCATTTGACGATAATTTATTTTCGTATTAATGAGTGTTCATTTGATTTTTCTTCTCTCACCATTAGTTTGTTAGCTTTGTTCTAAAAATGTAGTCTTCGTAGAACGGAGAAAGTATTTTGAACAGGAAGCAGGGACCTACTCATGCAGTAGGATGATTGATTGCCCTCCCTATGCACAGTAGGAATTTTAACATTGGCTTGTCTGGTTCTCAGGGGCTATGCAAAACTTGAGCTACATTATTAAATATTTTGGATCAGATCTAACATCACATCGTTTTGGATGGGACTTAAATACGGACTTCACTGTGCATTCTTGGATACACTAGCTAGAATGTTATTTCATTCTCTTATAAAATTACTGATTTAATTGTACGATTGGATCTATCTGTCTCTTTGTAAGGATGCAGGCGATGCTATCTTACATAAGAGCCCATATTCTAAGTTAATTTTCATCAACAAGTATATAATAAAAATGGATGAAAAAAAAGTACAATTAGGTTTACTGGGCCTCAAAGCCTGCAAGCATGTCGCGTTGGCATCCCTATTTTCTAACATTTATGTAATGATTCTATTTTCCCAACTACCATATATTCTACCTTAAAACTTGACTTCTTGACGTATCATAGCAGCATCTCTTTAAGATATGGTGTATGATTGATAATGTTAGATTCCCCATGGGCAGAACTAGGTGAGGACAAAAAGCTCAGCTCAGCTTGTAAGCCAAATTAGCTGAGCCCGAGCCTCCATCATAGCTCTTTTCCGAAACGAGCCAGAGCTGCAGAACCGTCAATAAGTTATAATGTATTTGGTTGAAAGGGATGAGATAGTCATGTGGGGACAAATCTATTTTCAGGGTGTTCGGTTCGATAACAGGTGGGACAGAATAATCCTTGAAATGGAATATTTTTCTAGATCCAGGTCAACTTTATATGAAAAAAATTAACGGACTCGAATTGAGATGCGGGCCACACCCTCACATTCCTTATAAAAAAAATAAGAGCATTATATCCCTTATGCCAAAGACATAGATGGGGCTATCCCATCTCAGAAAATAAGGATGGACCTAACATATCCCACTTCATCCCCAAATAAACACACTTCTATAGTTGTACATCAACTTGCAATTGCCAATGCATTTGGTAGTTTCATGATTTATATGTGCAATACCTGTACATAGTGGACCCAAGGGAACAGAGAATCATGGGAAATGACTATAGGGGATGAACCAAGGGAATATATAGGACACATTAAAGTGTTGCTAAATACTAGAGATACCCCGAGAAATTCCCCTCTGAAATAGGGAACAAATGGAATTTAATTTTGGATGAGGGGATTGAATCCAAGATAAGCTAAGAGAACAGGAACTGTGTTGTCACACTCACATGTTATGCTTGGGGAATTTGCTGTGACAAGGGGAAAAAAATGAAAATGTAAGCAAAATACCAAGTATATATCTTATTAACTGAAGCTCAACCATAGTCTCCACCCCCCACACCTCAAATCATCTCTCTGGTCCCTGTTCGATTTTGCTCATGTTAGCATGGAAAACACGCTGAGACATTAGTATCCGATTAATGAAGCATTACTACCATGAACTTGAAAATGGATTTATGTGGTTTTTAAGAAACTCCTATAGAATTCTTTTTTCAAAAAAGTGCACCATTTATCAATTCGATAAGTGGGCTCACGATACAAGAGAGTAGCTCACCCCATCAATTCAAAATGAGGCCAAAACCCCTAACCGCTCCGTCACTTCCTCAACCTCACTAATGACAATGCACAGTGCCCGCTGGAAGGCCACTTCATGGTAAACCCGCCTCTAACCGGGCAATCACAAGATTAAAAAAATAATATTTATATGATCTAAATTATTATTATTAATAATAGAAAAATAATCTTGTTTTGTTTCAAAGGAGGGATTTTCCTTTTTTTTCATTTACCTTGAGCGAAGCTGGACCAAATTGGGATCTAATATTTTTTTGTCCGTTGACTTTGAGCCCTTCTTTCTCCCCTCCCTCCTCCCCGCACAAATTTTCATAATCTCTCCTTCATTATATATGACAAGCCATCCCAACAACTTTGCCTAGCCACTAAATCTAACCATCTTGATTAGCTGACCACACTACCAAGGGATCCCTCCTTAGAGTGGCCCTATTAAAGAGAATAATAATAAAAAAAACACCGTACATGATGTATAATGCTTGGTCATACCTCAAAGAGACTGGTGATTGTGTGAAGTTAGAGCTATAGCATTGACACAGAGCGAGATGTATGACAATGATGATATACGCGTAGGGGAAATTAATTAGAATCGCCTGATCACGAGCGAGAAGTTCCTATATTATATGATGATGATGTCATGCCATTGTCAGCGTGTGAAGAGCCTTGTTGTGCTTTGAACTTGCTAGTTATATGGCCGTGTGGTCTACAGTTGTTAGGTAGGTAGTTAATTTGTTGGTACGTATGATTGTTTTAGCCCGATTTTCTCTTCATTTTGAGACTAATCATTCGGTGTTGGGGGTGGTGGTATAACAGTTCTCTCCTTAAAACGAGTCACTTTTTTTTAAAAAAAATATAACGATGAAAAATTACCGTGATTGTAGCATGCAGATACACGATATTGGAGAACAATGTGCGCCGTGTTTACTTCCAAAGTTATTCTTCAAAACTTCAACTTTTTCATCGCATCAAAACTTTCCTACATACATAAACTTTCAACTTTTCTGTCACATCATTTCAATTTCAATTAAATTTCTAATTTTAGTGTGAACTAAACACAACCGTGGGACTCTATCCTATGTGTATTTTACCTCTACCATTAATGCTTTATGCCGACCACGACCGTCAAATAGCTGATGAACGCACAACATGCAATCCTGCAAAAGATTACATACTTTACAGTCATTGGATAGTAACCACCATATCAGCGCCCCTTGTGGATGACGACGACAACTTTCATTCTCATGTCGTGTCATTGCCAAAAGATATGGAAGAAACTTATCTTTACATGCATAGTGTCTGCACAATGGGTGAGATGCAAACATGTAATTATCTAGGGCAATAGAGATTAATTAGAGAATTCATATTACTGAAAAGCGACAAAACACATGTTGACAGAAGGGATAACCCACTAGATAACAATATTCTTTCTGGCGCCTTTCTAGCAAACATTCATCGTGGCACAACTGCTCAACTGCTTAACCTGCTGTTAAATGTTTCTAGAAAATTTAGATTTCTTCAGAAAAATAAATCGTACGGAAAATTGCTATATTAACTCATGCACATTTCATTTTAGCATATAAGTACAATAGCTACTCTTACTGACTAAATGTAATGTTTATTTCTTTTGGAACATGGGTGCTCGTACTTATGACTAATTAGTCTTTCATTAGTATAGACGACGTACATGTTGACAGCGAGACGTTTGTGCACTCCGTTAATTTTAAGATATACCGACCCAATCTTTTTAAATGTGCTCACATGATTAGGGTGTGCGTGTGTGTATTTATAAAGGTGAGCACGCACGCGTTGTAAACGCTTGTGTTTGTACCAGCATATGCACTTCTGAGCACACCTCCCTAACTGATATTGATACTTTTTTGAAACCTAAACTGATATTGATACTCTCTCCGGTAAAAAAAGTACTGATATTTTGATATGCATACAGTCAACAAGTTTAAATTTTAACCATCAATATCGCTTTGAATATTTTGATTTTGATTAGATTAGTCTTTGAAAATAATTTCAAAATATTATAATTTTACTATATTTTTTATAGATTTTATTCTAGTAATTACCAACAAAACAAGTGTCTTGATGTGTTACCACACTTCAATATCCAGAACACACTTAGAGCACGTATAATAAAATGTTATAAGGGGGCTATAAGAGTTACCACACCAGATTTATGATGTGTTGGAGAAGAGAATGGAGGAGACAGAAGAGAAGTGTGCTTCTGTAGCAAGCTGTAATATGAGCTCCAAAAATCTTTAAGAGAATAAGGTGTGCAAAATACTTCCTCCATTTCACAATGTAAGTCATTCTAGCATTTCCCACATTCATAATGATGTTATATTGATGTTAATGACATCAATATGAATGTGTGAAATGCTAAAATGACTTACATTATGAAACGGAGGGAGTACGTATTAATAGTGCTATATGTATAACTATAGTTAAATATTGTATGGGTAAGATATTAGATTAGTTATAAATGATATGGTAAGAGCAATGTGATCCATAAGCAAACCATATATATATTTATGTGGAAGAGAAAAATAAGAAAAAAGTGAAAAGTATTGGCTCTCATGCAAGAGTTAGCTCTACACATGCTTAAAAAAAGTATATATTAAACTCATAGTAAGAGAAAGAGAGAGAAGAAAAAAATATAGTAAGGCCGGTCTACTATATATATTAAACTTTATATATAGCTAACCTATTATATATATATGTTAGCTAAACAATGATCGCTAATTAATAGTAAGGCCGGTCTACTATTAAACTTAGTTACGTTGGCTCTACTATTAGGGAGCAGTTAACTGTTTATAAGGCAAAAAAGACAATAAATTAACTCTCATCGGTACTGTACATAATAACGTTAGGCGGAGAGCATAAATGCAAACAACGCACACCCTGTGCAAATATTCGCAAGGATGGATCAGATGCAGATCCGCAGTGAAGGAGAAAAAGACGGGTATATATATGTATGAAGTTCTAAAAAAAAAAAAAGTGTACGAGGCAGGAAGCTGCCGGCGTCGCCTCATCACTCATCAGATTCCACCTGCAACCAAAAAAAATCTGTGGACTGTGGAGCATGGAGATCGACCACAATTAAATTCGTCAATAATTCCTGCCCAAAGCTAGAAAAACAACAAGCCAATATCAGGAGAAGCATATTCCTAAGTGAGATTACAACAAGAGAGCAGTTAGGCCACACATCCCTCTCCACATAGTACTCCATCCGTCCCGTAATAAGTTTATTTTTGGCTCATTATATTTATCCCAAAATTAATTTTATTTTTAGTGATCATTGCATCGAAGTTTATGAAAGTACAAAATAATTATACTGAGAGTATATAAAGTGAGAAATAATTGCATTGAGATTTGATAAAATATGGGTGTTTCGGTCTTTTTGTTTTGTATCGATATGTGCGAGATGAATAAGACAGGGGTAGGCCATAGCTTCGTGCTACGCAACATAGTAGATTAATTTGGAGATGAAGCTTGGGAGGAGGCCACGGGCAGACAAAGTCGTTGTCCTATCCAAATGTACGACCATCTCTGTCTAATACATCTTCGCTTCCGTCCATAAATATAAGGATTTTTATTCTTAAGTAAATGAAAATGTTTTTGTAAACAATGGTTATTTTTAAAATTTTGAATTGCTTGTATTAACTTCCCAAGCATCTCATTGGCTAAAAATATATAGATGTTAGTGTTTTAGAATTATATTGTGATACAAATTTTAAATCATAAAAATGCTTATATTTTGAAACATAGGGAGTAGTACTCTAGTGCCCCACCTGGCTCCACGCGGCCCCTCTCTTATTCATTTTCTTTTCTTTTGGTGGTGATAGTGCGTGTGGCATTTTTATATTTTAGCCGGTCGGTGGATGGACCTCGACCGTGCCACTAACAATGTCCACTAGTTTCATACCTTGCACGTGAGTGTTGTCTAGTCATCATGACTATACGCATCTCTTTACCTACCGATCATGCTTCATTTAGAATATTATGTACAGCTACCTTTATTGATGGGGTGAAATTATGTTGTCTCTTATACGAATATTACGCACTTTTTTAAAAAAGTTTTTTTTTTTGGCCTAAGGTAGCTACATATGATAAATGGAGTGCGATATTTCTAAAAGTAAGGTCTATAACTGTTGAGCACTACAACATCGTGGATATATCGACTTGATATCACAAACATGATGTAAACGCAAAAAGGATGGTTGTCCCGCTTTTGTTTTCACGGTACCATATCACGCACCTTACTCGCAGTGACAGTACTCACAAACTGTTCATACAAGACAAAACTATACATAGTAGTAGTACATTACACTGAGAAAAGTTTGGCAAGCACTTAATTAGCAACAAATTGAAGAGGAAGGAGAGAGGAACTTCTGAAGCAACATATAGAATCCATACATATGGCCAAACTCAGCTGATACTTGACCCTGATTAACTGAAGCTGAAACGGTAGCTAGCTAGCTAGCTAGGCCATCCACTCAGGAGGATAACCGCCCGGTGGCGGCGCCGGCGGCTGGTTCACGTCCACGGCATGAAGCCTGCAAAAATTAGCAAGTGCATATTTGCCATCAGTCCAACATGATTCATATATAGACAACCATCACTTTGCCATTATTAGGACAAATCTTGATAATCCGTGGAAAACTAACTTGTTTGGTGCAAAAGCGGAATTAATGATTTTTTTCCCCTTCTAAATGAAAGCTCCATTTGTCAAAAAGAGTGTAGAAATCTCCCTTTTTCTAACAAAAGTTTAGCAAGGATGAAGACAGTGCAGTTCACGCACCCGAGGGCCTGGAAGAAGTGCTCTGGTTGGGGAGGCTCACTGGAAAACACGCCGCCGCCGCCGCCATGGCCATTGCTGCAGTTTCCGTTCCATGGAGGCTGTGGGGGAGCTGCCTCTACGTCGATCTCGTCAAGCTGAAACAGGAAAGGATCAAACAACCAAATTAACCAAGAGAAGAGCAACGTTGTCACTGCCGATCACTACAGAGAATGATCATGATCAAGAAACATGTGCGTTCTCCAAATAGCATGATGTCAAATTGATGCAGAGAGGTGAAGGCTGAGAAGCCGATGCATGCATTTTATACTGCTGCCATGCCACCAGCCGGGGGGACCTACCGACCTATATATACTTGGCCTACTTGTGCATCATCGGCTTTTCAATCACGAGCCCACAAATCTACTTCAGAGGAGATCGAGCAAAATTCTTGGGAGTGGTCCAAGAAGCGAGTCATGCGGTCCCTAACTACAAATGCAGAGGGAGCTTTTTCTATATGGTTTCTAGGTAGCATTTGAGTAAATGGAAATCTCGTACCTTCCTTTTCAGGACCCTGTTTGCATCTTGTAGCATTTGTTCCTGAAGAAAAGTTCAATATTGGAGCAATTAGATAAAAACAAACCGAATTTGCCACTGAAAGAGGTACAAGTATTCACTGTAGTGTAGTATATCATTTGGCGGCATTGAAGAAGATATTTCAGTGTTACCTTTCTCTTTAGGTCGCAGAGTTCATCAAGTAGTACCTGAGTCTGCAAAATATGTATGAAATCATGCACAGAAGAGTATTAGAAGTCACCTAGCTTGGAGCAGCTTTTTGAATCGTAGAGAATAATATATATCCCTTAATTTTTTTAATGAAAAAAAGGAAAGCAAATAGTTGCACCTTTTCTAATCAATTGGCAGTCACCAAGTGTACAGCAATGTACTCCCTCTGTAAAAAAAAACTAAACCTAGGAGGGGATATGACATTTTTTAGGACAACGAATCTGGACAAAGGGCTGTCTAGATTTATTATACTAAGATATGTCACATCCTTGTTTAGGTTGAGTTTTTTTTTTTTAAGAACGGAGGGAGTATCAGTGTGGCAAAATGCAGTTACTTTTTTTTTAACGTTACAGTTACTTGTTATTCACAACTCCTAGTCAGAAAATCCCACTTTTAATTTAATCCAACCTTTGTAAATTATTCTAATTAAGCTTAAGCAACACAACAACTAAGGGTTAAGCCTCGTAGAACATTGATCTTTTATCACATGGATGTTGGGTAAGCCAACAAATACAAATCCACATCACATATTACCACATTTGTATAGCTTCAGATATAGTGCATAGTAAGCAAACCATAATATATGTAACAAAGAAGCTAGCGCAACGTTACGGATGAAATCTGAAAATTTTAATCGGTAAGTATACTACATATTTATACTTGAACGAGTTTCCTTGCTATGTTAATTTACCTTTCTTGATCTGATTTGCTTCAAGGTTCTGACTACTTGACTCTCAAGCTGCTCAAGTTCATTTGTAGCCAGTGGAGCTAAATCCTCACCTAGAAGGTTCCTGCAACATTATCACCAGTTAAAATATTTTGCAAAACAAAGGGAGCAATGGAGTAGAGCCAGTGTTCTTTAGACTAAAATATTAGACCCAACAAAATTGAAGAACACATGTACATATGAGTATGAACATAAAGAATCTATTACCTTTGTGATTGTTGCAGAATCTCAACATGTGCCTTCAAGTTCACATATTCCTGATAGTTGTTCTACATTATAAAGAAAAGCGAATTGAAAACAAGCTAAAATTTTAAATTTAGTTATTCTTGTCATACACAGCACAAAAGCGGCACTAATGATTTACTGAAAGTGTACTGATAATATACATTTGTAATAGTGACAGCGTTTGACCTATATTAATCTACAAACAGTTGATCTATATATATATTGTATTGTATTATTAAGATAGCTTAAATGGAAGCTACCACATTTGCTCTGGAGGCTAAAACCTATATTAATCGGAGAAAAGGGAAAAAAAATGTTTGGACCATTAGATCGTGGGGTCTAGCTCATTATAGTTTAGATTGATGAATATATCTGCATATAAAATGCAATTGTAGCTATAGAAAAAAAAGGTAGAAATTGTATATGAAATCCAATTCTATTTTTTTTAAAAAAAATATATTAGGTAGAAAATACAATTGTATCAATCGAATAGAGTTAAAGTATTGCATATCAAATCTAATTCTACTTTTGAAATCTAGCACCATGCAATTTGCATGAGACAATCGCCTAGTTATATTAAGTATAGGCCAAGTTATATTTGCAGTACGTATAATAAACAAATTAAAGATGTGAACATGGTAATTAAAACTAAAATGGTCCCTGTAGAGAGATGCGTAGAGTTTATGATGAATGCCAATAATTGACGGAGTAACTACGAAGAGATACTATATATACTCTATCTAGTGCACCCAGATCCCCATGGATATGTTCAATAAACATTTATCACATTTACATCATGTATGCGTTGCCCATTTAGCTAGATAAATACTGTTCTTATCTGCTTCTTTGGGCTTGCAAGCAAATCCGAAGCTCCACAAACTTAACTAAACTGGAATTCAAAGGAAGTGCACAACGCATTAGTATGTGCTTGCATGAGAATTGTTGAACAAAGAAATCCTTATAGAAGGTAATGCATGAAATGCACTAGGCCAATGGCCATCGATTTATACATGTGTTCCCAATTTCCGGTGACTTAGGTATCTCTGGTCTTAATGCCCGGTGCAAATTACAAATGGGCACAATTGATCTTTCTTTTTCCTTGTCAAAAGTTAAATGGCCGGTGAGGCTAGCTATGAGAGGAAAGGAATCTTTGCCTTAAGAAGAGTCATTATATTTCAAGCTATGGATGTCTATGACTCAAGAATTTACTATTCTTTCTTCTCATAGTGAGAGAGGAGTACGGTTTTTATGATCACATCTCATGAGTACTTTTAAAAGTTAAATTTCATGAGAAAACAGTTTTCTAGTGTAAAGATTGCCTCTCATAAATCAATCTCTAGTAGATTATAACACAAATAAAAATACTGGAAGCAATTACCTGATGGTTAATTTTCTAGGGGACATTATGCAAAAATGATTATGTCAATAAAAACATCAACAAATAATGTGCCATAAACTGAATAAAATTATCAAACCTGCATCTCATCGCTAGTTGGTGCGGCAGCATCTTGCGAAGCATAAATGTACCTCTGGTATCTCTCAAGCGTCTTAAGCATGCTGAAATATGAATTAGAGATAGATGGTTAACTAGCACACTATACAGAAAATATGTTTCCCCTAAAAGAAATAGTATATTAATAAAGCTGTTAATTATGTCTTCCGATCAATTTGTGAATGTTTCGTTGTCATTTTCTTCCTCAGGAAAAAAAAAATCAAGCCTCCTTTAGGGTACATTCATTGGAGAGGGTTGGGAACTGTTCCCTCTCGCACACAAAACAAAGTAACGCACGATTAATTAAGTATTAGCTTAAAAAAACTTAAAAATAGATTAATATGGTTTTTTATAAGCAACTTTCTTATAGATTTTTATAAAAAACGTATTGTTTAGCAATTTGGGAAACGTACAAAGTAAACGAGATAATAGAAGTTGAGAAAGTGTCTAAAAGAAGTAAAGAACCCAACCTAAGTCCATCTTAGGTGCTTTGGTGCCACCAGAAAATTGATTATACCAAATTAAACAAGAAAAATGCAAATAAATATATGGAAAATATAGCTTTAAATTTGTATGCCGCTCCATCCGAAGTGTTTTCGTCCCCCCCCCCCCTCACCTTTAGGAGAAAAATAAAAGGTGATCTAATTAACAAAGCAGCCCTAGTCTGTGCCAAGCCACTAATTGTACATCCTTTTTCACTGAGGATGAAGGATAAAAATAAAACAATATTCTAGTGTGTTATAACCCAATAAGACACCATTTTTTCCTAGCAATATTTAAAAATTATTAATATGAGAAACGTGTATCTATGGATGATGCATGTCACATATGACAAATTAACAGTTCACCAACGGTGAAACTTTGTGTGATCATCACATGGTAGCTAGTGAACACATATACTACAAAAACAAGGTACTGTGGCACTTGATAAAGAACCAATAACGGCATAGCATTATTATACAGAAATCTCTTATTCAAATACAGTAATCTGTCTCTATGGATGATACCCCTTATAACAACAAATTAACAGTGTTAACCAAGGGTTGAAACCTGTGTGATCATCATACGGTAGCTAGCGCGAATGCATATTCCTACAAAAATATGGTACATATATATATGATACTTGACAAAGAACCAACAAGAAACAGACAAAAAAACTGGACCCTTATGGCAATTTAGTGATTGATTGGAAAAACTAAATGTGCAATAATTCAGTAATAGAAACTACTAGGTCATTTGATTTCCCTTTGTAACGTATATATTAATTGTAAGAATGTAGCATACATTCATATGGGGAAAAAGGCCAAAACATATTAGCATCCCCATACAAACTATAACTCACTAGCATGTATATTAACATGGTCAGTGTATTCTTTAATATGCAATTTTTGCTAATGTGAGTTCCACATTTCATGCAAACTGCCCCAAATTTGAAGATTATCCTGTATGGGTCAATTACACGTTAATATAATAATATACTATAAATTAGCAATTCTACCTCACAGAGTGTCTATATATATGGACGGTGCATTTGCCTACAGTGAATTGTTTTATAGAGCTGAAAGTAGTTGTACAGTTGATCTTTTCCAACGTAGCTATAAGGTAACAGTATTTTGGTACTGTCAGATATACAAAGTCAGAGCTTGTACGTTAAAGTAGTTCTTGCAAGTTCCAAGCCGTAGATGAATTAACACATGACGATGTTGGTGAGTTTAACTAGTGTGTTGTGTTCATGAGATATTTATTGCAGCAAGTTTATAATTAACACACAAAAGTATCCTTGATAATATATAAGTAAACGACAAATTTTGATCAAAAGCGGCATTCTTCAGCAAATTTTGCTCATCAACAGCTAGTACTAAAAGTGGCATTCTTCCAAGTAAATTATTTAAACTCCATCAAGTTAAATCCTCCAAATTTTAGGCTAATTCAGATTCTAGCATTTGTACACGCCATGATATTTACATCAAATGAAACCCCTTTCTTAATTTTTCTTGCCTGCTATGACACACATACATATATACACACACGGTATATATACGCATATATGTACATGTCTGGATCTCCTGCCGAGGACAACCTCGTCTTCTTTGCCTTGTTCTTTTGTAGCCTTTTTTACATGAACAGTAGCTTCGCCCAATAGAACAGAAAGAAAGGAACAGGCGTAGAAAAAACAACACGTACGAAATCATGGCCCCTCCCATAAGTTCATGCACGGACGACGACGGATACAGTACACGCGCGAGAAAATTCAGATCGGTCGTGATTTCTTGCAGATTGTGCGCGCAAAGATGGAGCAAATTGCGGTTTGGGGAGTGCAGGTTAAGCAAGTTGAGAGAATTTGATTAGGGGAAGAGGAGGAAGCTGAGATGAGTGAGAGGGGCAGTGGGTTTACTTGGATGAGGAGGAGAACTGGTAGAGGCGGCCGGCGTGGGAGAAGAGGACGAGGGCGACCTCGGCGTCGCAGAGGATGGAGAGCTCGTAGGCCTTCTTGAGCAGGCCGTTCCGCCGCTTGGCGAACGTCACCTGCCGGCTGATCTTGTTCTCGATCCGCTGAAGCACCACCTTGCCTCGCCCCATCTCGATCTCCCGCTCGAGATCTCTCTTCAGTCTTCCCTTCCTCTCTCTCTCTCTAGATCGATCTCTAGCAGACCAGCAAATCAACACAAACCTCTGAAGAATTTTCTTCAGCAAAGCTTAGCTGCTAGCTCTTCTCATCCATGCAGCATCTGCATGATGGATGGATCGATCAGTGCATGAAATCAATTCCGATTCCTTGCTCTCTCTCGCTAGCTCTCTCTCCTACTGTCACACACGCACACCGGCCGGCCTGCAGCTGATCTGCTCAAGCTGTGGCTTAATTAGGAGTAGCTTTTTTCTCTCTATGCCCTACTTAATCTCTCCTCTCAAGAGAGAGAGATAGAGAGAGGCCTGGCCCAGCTTGCAGCGCCCTGTGGATGGTGGTGGTGGTGGTGGTGGTGGTGGCCGATCTACAGCTTAATTGGCCGAGAGAGACTGAGCGCGAAAGAAAGGCAACGAGAGCGAGAGGCCGGGTCGTCGACGAAGAGAAGAATCTTTTCTTTCGTGGGGTAGAGAGGCAGATTGAATTTGGATCTCATCTCATATTCTCGTCTCGTCTCGTCTCTCACCCTAGGTCACGTAGTAGTAGTACGTTACGTTTCCATCGCCCCAGGTATAGCAAAAATTAATACCGCCGCGAGCGCTCGCACAATCGCAATTCGCAAGCTTGTAACAGCGACGTTAACAGCGAGGCGAGGGAAGCGACCGGGCCGGCGGGGGCGTCGAACCCGAGGTTGTGTACGTATCACACGGTGCGGCCCGGGCAGCAGCGCGCACAGAGGCGGAATCGCGACGTGTCGAGCGGACGCTGGTGCCGGGTGCTTTTATGCCCACAGGCTAAGCGGAGACTAGCTATAAGCTAAGCTAGCCAGCGGCTGTAGCGAGCAACGCCCAAGCTCTCGTTGACGCAACAGGTAAGGTGGCTGTACGTAGGAGAGTACAGGATGGCTGCCTCTCTTCCCCCGGCCCGCCGGTCCAGCCGCTTCCCCGTCCTCGCCTCGACGCTGCCGCCGTGTTTCCTACGTACCCGACGCGTACGCACGCCGGGGCGCCGGGCCACACGGCGAGGCCGGTAGCTGGGGGAGCGATACGCTAGCTAGGCAGCCATGGCCGGACGCGTGCGTGTCGCCGGCTGGCAGGGGGGGCGTTCTTCCGGCCGGTCACAGTGCACGTCGCGTCGACCGGGACGGGGGGCATGTCGAGCCATCAGGTCGGCGGCGTCGCCTCACGTGACGGGTGGGGGGGATGGCAGAGGACAGAGAGGAGGAGGAGGAGAGGAGGGGGATCGATGAGCGCATGAGCTCATCTGCACAGTGAGCGGAACAACTACTACGCCCAGCACAGTAGCTGTAGCCTAGCACTGTCACTCCTACAGTGTGGCTGCCGCGCTGGGCCCACCACGTAACCCTCGGTCTCGCTCTCGATCGGGGGGTGTACTGTAGCTGCAATCAAAGTAGTTGCCACAACTTGAAGAGCGTACAGTACTTGCTAAAACCTAAAATTAATTAAACCGGTTAGTTTTAATTTGGCAAATTTGCTACAGTATATCTAAATCAAAACGTGGATTTTCCGAGAACACTATAAAAATATGGTAATTTGCTGAAGAACATAAACATCGATTATTTTATTGTTTTCATCCTATTTGATAGAAAAATATTTTAGGAGGCCCCTATCCCGCATATGTGAACGAAGGAGTATGTCTCAGTTCGAACTGATCATATCCCCGCCTCTCAATCTTTGTGCTCTCTCACTCAAACCCCTATTAGCAGGCAGCGAGGCGATGACATGAGTGGCGAGGAAGAAGAGGAGGGCAAAATAAACATTTCATATGCCTCATCTCTTCTCAATTAAGTGGATTTTACATTTTAAAGGCCGTGATGTTCTCCAGCAAATTATCACGTTTTTTAGTGCCCTAAGACAAAAGCTACATTTTTAACGGTGTCCACCAGCAAAGATCATGTTTTTTAGATGTTTTGTAGAAAATTTTTCCTTTTACTTTACATTTCTCATATTGAAGTTGAGGTTAAGTAGAAATTTCATAGGTGTTCATTTTGAAAGTTGATAAAACCCCATATCGTCACCGCCCAACTCTTTCTTTTAAACGCAATAATTTCATTGGATATTCTAGTTGGAGAATGGGGGAAATTCCAAAATTCTAAAGGACAAGCTATTTGACCCACATGAATTTGTGTGTGTGTGTGTGTGAGTAATATTCCAAAGCCTTGAGTATGTTGGGCCCTATTTAGATTCCAACTTTTTTCTTCAAACTTTCAACTTTTCCATCACATCGTTTCAATTTCTTCAAACTTCCAATTTTGATGTGGAACTAAACACAGCCTTGGTACTTTTGTACAGACATATGTTCACGCCATGACAATAGGTTAAAGCTCGAGGACTATTTCTCTTTGAAATTTTAAATTTCCTTTCCAACGCTAGCTAGCTACAACCTCTAGATATAGGCTCTAATTTGAAAATGCCCTAATTCTTGATGTGTATTGAGTATATGATATGGAGTTAATTAATTTGCAATATTAATTTGCACAAACAATGGTTACATATATTGAGCATGGTCACACCGTGATATATGCTGCTCCATCTTGTTCGGTATACTCATTTACACACACACGTGAGCTCCATTTTAAGTTTTAACACATAATTGGCGGATATAGCACGGGGTAAAATTACAATGAGTGCATGGTGAAATGCATAGGAAATTAAATAGAGCATAAGAATGCACGTGCAAAGAGAAATTCTACGGTCATTAAGAAAATACTTACTGGTAAAATACTAGATAACAAGTTTTATACTAGAAAATATGATACGATAAAGGATGGTAAAATTATGGCTCGCAAAATATAGCACGAAAAAAGAAACTGAACTAGCTGGTGCAGTAGGTGTCCCCATGCATTAATGTACTCCCTTGATAGTTGATAAAGAAGTACTCCAAGCACTCAAATGTAGCCTGTTGCGATGTCTGAGAAAGTAAGAATATATAGAGAGGTAGTAGTACGTGAGAAAGACATGGCCGGCCCATGTCCGTTTCAATTGCTATGTTTTGATTTGTTCTTGGATTCTCTTTATTTTGTGTACCAGTCCCATGCATGTCCTCTAAGATGCACTAAAAGTTGCGAAGAAGCAATCCCAACCATATCTTCTCATCAGTGTCATTTATTAAACTGTACTTATCAAGTACAATGTTAGGTAATTACGAATAAACCTGCATGGTCCTAAACTAATTCCATCTCATATGCATGTGATATGTTCAGAGCTTTAGATAACCGATAATGTCACTAGCTAAGCGTGTTACACCGGTCCACTGATCCACTCATGCTGATATATAAGTTCAATCACCCAACTGTGTGTTACACAGTGGACAAGACAAGTGACCACCGAGAGTGACGATATATTCAGGCTCACATATGGCAAAAGTGTAAAGTGGGAGGCAATGTCGGCACCACATAAAGGCCAGCCATATATGCATATATGAACTCGTGACAGAAAGTAGGACAAGATCGATGGAAAAGGGAGGAGGCGAGACCAGGTTGGGTATATAGCAAAGCGGAACAAGGCCATATCTATGCACACACACGCATGTGACACGCCCCTAGGTACAGGCTGTGTTGTTACAGTCTAGGCAAAGTCGAGTACCACGTTACATGCAGGAAAAAGGAGCAAAAAAAAAAAAAGGCCGGGTCGTAGTAGAGCTGTAGCCCCCTGTTGCTAGCTGGCCCGGCCGCGGCGGCACGATCGCCATGTAGGGAGCGGCATGTCGGGCCTCTCGCGGAGTCGCGGTTTGGCGCGTCGGGTGCGTGGCGATCCGTCCGTCCAGGCCGCGCGCGGAGCGGGGTCACGCGGCCTCCGCTGTTACGACGCGCGAAATTTCTCTGCGCGTTCGCGGCCGTGCGCCGCAGGCGGCCGGGTGGGTGGGGAGCCGTGTGCAGCGGGCGCGGGTGGGGGCGTGGCCGCGTGGGCGTCCGTGCTGGGAGCTTGCGTCGCGCTGCGCTGCGCTGCGCGGTCTGCGGGTTCCGTGGAGCCGTACCGTGCGCACGGCCGCACGGCGCGTCGCGGGGCTCGAAACGTGGCGCCGGTGGCAGGAGCGCGCATCGGAATCGGCGAGTTGCCTCCCAGCTCCGTGCAGCTGCGGTGCTGGCACTCACCAAGTGGACGCCGGCCACATCGCGTGCGTCGTCACCCCTCCAGGATCTGAAGTGGCAGAGGCATTGAGGAGTACAGTAGGAGTACTTCAGCTGGGCATGTATTCCCTCTCTCCGTAAAAAAAAACAACATCTTAGTACAACGCGACACATTATAATACTCTCTTTGTCTAATTTTAAATGCAGTTATGGTTTTTCGCGTCCAACTTTAACCGTTCGTTTTGTTTCAAAATTTTTTTTAAAAAATTAAAAACATAAGTCACGAGTAAAGTATTATTTATGTCTTATCATCTCATAACAACAAAAATACTAATTATAAAAAATTTTCAAATAAGATGGACGATCAAAGTTGGACGTTAAAACTTATGGTTGCACTTAAAATGGGAGTACAATGAATCTAAACATAAAGCATGTCCAAAATTATTGTAGAATGTGATACATCATAATACTGAAAGAAATTTGAAAATATACTTTATTTTTTCATATTTTGCATTTATATACCTGGCTGCGATTAATTTACAAAAATATACCCAATCCGCTGAACGGATGCGCGGGAGCGGAACCCGAGCCGGTCGCGCGGAACCGAGATGCGCGACCGAGCCGGTCCCACACAACTGGCCTGCGGGATCGAGTCGGTACCGCGGCGCCGATGCGCGGGAGCGATGGAGCCCATGGTAGGACGAGTGAACGCGGCGGTGCCGCAGAATGGCAGCGCGGGACCGACGCTGTCGCGCGGTTCCAACGCGCGGAACCGAATAGGTCGCGTGATCTTTGAGATGTGTTCTTCCCCTAATTTTTCTAACTCATCCGCGCGCACGCTTTTCAAACTCCTAAACGGTGTATTTTTTATAAAAAGTTTCTATACGAAAGTTGTTTAAAAAAATCATATTAATCCATTTTTGAAAAAAAATAACTAATACTTAATTAATTATATATTAATAGCCTGCTCCGTTTTCCGTGCAGAGGAGATCGGATCCAATTCGGGAAACCGAGATGGGGGCGGCATGTGGGAGCGCCGGTCCCGCACATCCGGCATGCGGGAGCGTTGCCGCGCTCACCACGCCCGCGGGACCAGCGTGGTACCGCATCCCCGGCCTGCGGGACCGGCTGCTCGTCCTCACTCCCGCGCAACCGTTCTGCGGATTGGGTATATTCTTGCAAATTAGTCACAGCCAGGTATATAAATGCAATATATGAAAAAATAAAGTATATTTTCAAATTTCTTTCTCATAATACTAGGTTATATTTTTTTGACACAGAGGAAGTAGGGGGCTAGGGGCTAACCTGCCTAGTGCATCCTCTGTCTAAAAAAAAGATAAACCCTAACTATAAACCTAAACGCGTGTATGTCTAGATTTACAAGTTAGAATTGAATATTTTTTTAACTAAGGGAGTATGAGTCATTCTTGCCACATTTTTTCTTTAGTCTCATTGGCACGGGTCAACATAGGAAAAATCTTGCCACAAAATATATCTATGAACTAAACAAGCATCTTAAACTTGTCTAACTAAGGCTGAGTTCGGCACTTAACTTTCTAACACACTCCTCTCATTTTCCTCGCGCACGTGTTTTTTTTTAAAAAAGTTCTTTACGAAAGTTGCTTTAAAATCGCATTGATCCTTAAAGGCTAATACTCCGCTTCGTTTTCTGTGCGGGAGGTGGAGTCTTGGTGTGCCAACCTTAAGCAAGTTGTGAGTGCCAACCAAACAATGTTGTAAACTAAGAAGTATCATAATCTAAAAAATGCTAAGTTTTCTATCTTGTAGTTCATTTTTTGATTCTATAGCTACTGTTAGTAAAATCTAGATAAAAATATTAACTGTTTGAGAGAATTGAAGATTCTGGAGAAGTTGCAGTTACTATCAGCTCTCCAAACAAGATCGTTAATTGACCGTTAGTAGATTTAGCGCTCCTTTTTGGGAACATTTAGACGCTAGATTTGTTGCGTTCAGGAAATTACAATGTTGTAAAAATGCATATTTCGAGAGCTCGAACGTTATTAGTAGTATAACAATTAAGGCTAACAACATACTACAGTATTAAAAAGCTCGGCGAACCACCTGTTTTAGTTTCCAGCGTTCATAACATTGTCGGAATAAATCTCCAGTCAATACACAATCAGTAAAAACACACATTCGCGCGCGCACACAAGAACTATATATCTAATCGATCTTTGTTCAAGATGATGGAAATCCAATCATCTCAAGCGAGCTAATCATATGCATGAGCCGTATGAGTATGACACACCATCCGTGGAGAAGAACTGGGAATTGATATTATCCCATCTCCACACAAGGCATGTCACTAGATTATTGTGCGATCAACAAGCAAAACGTTGGTTCACCGGCAAACCTGAGCTGAGGCACGATTCGTTCCAGCACGACCCAGGACGGCAGAGGTCGAGGCGCCGCCATAGCTGATCAGGACTCGGTCGACGGTCCTGATTTCCGCCTTCTTCGGGGGAAGTCGATTGGAATTACTAGGTGTGTTGGGCTGGACATTTGGGCGTACATATGGGCCAGCAAATGGGTGGCTCCGTGGCTGGGCTTCTGTTTCGTCGCGTCGGTCGTTGGGCCGTAACATTTTCGGATGGTTTTGTGCAACGCGGGGATCGGATATTCGGAGGAGGCCATGCGGCGCCAGCAAATGCGACGATTGCTACGTCGTCGTCGACGGCGGCGGCGTGCGTGCGTGCGTGCTTCCCTGCGGGACGTCGTAGTGCGTGGCGCTACGTACGACTGCACGATCCCTCCCTAGTCCTGGGCTCTAAAACGTGGCACGGTGGCTGGCAGGAGCGCGCGTCAGAATTGCCTCCAGCTCGACAAAGCGATCCGGAGAGGCGTGGGTACTGACTACTGAGTAGGAGAGTGATTTTTGTGAACTAGTGATCCGACTCCCACAGCAGGGCTGCTGTTTTCCTTTTCTTTTCCATTTTTTCGCGAGGAAGGGTTGATGTTAGATCAGGCGCAGATTAACAGATTTAGCTAGTTCTCCCAATAGGACATGTTTAGTTTTTTTTTTCTTTTTCCCCAATAGGACATGTTTAGTTTTTTTTTTCTTTTTCTTTTATGGATTCTAGTATATGCCGAGGTTAAAATGCAATTAGTTTCATATATATGTTTGGATGATAGTATATACTTAGTTCACAATGCCATGCCTAATTATGTGTCAGGCTAATTATGTGTTATAGAGACCATGAGACTTGACTCGAGGATCAACTTGGAAATCCTGAACGTTGATAGCAAACTGGAGGGGCACAGCACCAACGCTTGTTTAGCACAATCCCACGAAAGATGATCAACACGTAGGTGAAGGTAAGATGATCTGGGCCTCTGGGGCCATCCCTGGCACCAAAATCGAATCGATGTCCTCGTCTCCATAGGATGTAGAAACTATAACTTCTTAAGTATTCTCACAGTAAAAGAGGGAGCATTGATTCAAGACTCAATTACAGAGCAAGACAATCAAAGCTAAGCAATAAACTTTAACAGTTCGTCTACGACAGAAATGCAATTCATCAAACTATTGCTGCCTCTTCAACAGATTAGCAGCAGCTTCCTACACAACCAAATTATAGCCCATGTAGTCCATGAATTGCTGTTCTGTAGATTATTTACTACAGAGTGCTGACAGCTGAATGAATCCATTCCAAATTATAGCCCATGTATTCCATGACTTGCTGCTTTGCATATTATTTACTACAGAGTACCGACAGCTGAATGAATCCATTCCATTGGCCACTGAATGAATAACTAGATTAACCATTGATATTTTAGACAAAGTCTGACATTTTCAAGTGGAAATATGGTACTAATGTTATGGTAACAAAATAATATGCTAGAAAATCTGATCAAATATATCAATGACTAGTATGCTAGAAAATACATGTTGCGTTGCCTAGCATTATTAACACCACCATCACTGGTGCAATAACTTATCATAAATAAACCCCTTCTTCCAACAAACTTACCAAGCAACGGCTGAAGTAAGTAACCATATTTCACACAAATCTTTGTTGTTTGAAGAAAATCTTGAAACCAAACCTTTGCCACTTGATAGAACATTTCCAGTATCAGCATCCACAAATTATACACTTTGTGAAACTAGATGTTTCTGTGAGGTTCCAAAAAACAAGAGGTAGATCTGACTGAGCTAAATTAAAGAGAAATATATCTGTGGCTTAGCTAAGATTATATAGCCTTGATCCAAACAATAAGAAAAATATCTATACACAAGGATTGATAACAAGTTTAAAACCTGAGCTCCACAGATAGAATATATTGCATTGTAATCTTAAGATATAAGAGCCACACAGATACTGATAAACCTAAGCTACTCTATGTAAGTTCATTGACTATCTAGAACTAATCATGTGTGATATTGCAGGTCCTAAGAGAGTAAGATAGATGCCTCTTTAAACCGTTCGTGTTTGCTCGCACATATTTTATACATATATCATGTAAGTAAACTAGTGCTCCTGCCTCTAAATGTAATTAAGTGGCTTCAGCAGCTATTCTGCAGGTATTGGTGTAAGAAAATTCCAGCATTGCAATACATGTCCGAACAAAGGAAAATGATTAATTAACCATTAGACAATACACCTCCTGCTCAGCTGCTTGATGCAGCAGGTGTCTGTGCACGGCTACTTCGCTTGCTGCTTGGCGAAGCAACTAGCTGCGGCAGCATAGCATCCAAGCACCAATCTATCATGAATGCACCCACAGCACACAGAAGCACTGTCGAATCAATCATACAAACATCCACAGATATTATGCACTATCCAATGGATCTATCTATGTTCAAGAATCAAGATGATTGATAATGCAATTATACAAATCAACCAAAATCATGAGGCAGATACGAGTATCACACCATCTGCAGAGGAAGCACATCAAACTGAAAACGCTATAAGATTGAGCATGAGCCTTCTCGGAGGGAGGCATGTGAGTTCTAGCGAAAGCGTTAAAATGAAATAACCAAATAAATTCATGCTCCTTCAGTGCATCAAGATTAAGCAATCAATGAGCAAGCACATACTGGTAACGATAAACATTAGTAGTACTAAAGAGACATGCAGGCTGTAGCAAAACAAACCCAGCTTGTGAACATAAAACATGTCATTCAGAATCTGATCTCCTAATCAGCAGCCTGGCGAAATAAAAATAAAAGAAGTCTAGCTGGCTCCCACACCACACGAATTACTTCTCTGATCTCTATTTCTGCATGCTCTTCCACTCGCTCCATTGCTGGCCAACAAAAGAAGAAGACAACTCAGATGAATTGTACACACTGCTAATGCCATAACATGCTTGCTACAGTTGTAAGCAAGACAATTGAGTAATTGTAGTAGCACAACATTGAGCACTAAAATGAAGATGACAAAGCAGCAATATCAGCATGTATGAATTGCAAATATTCAAACAAATTAAGCTTGTGTGTATGAGACAAAACGGATTACCTGAGCACACAACCCTAGGAATTCACTTGGGCAAATTAGCATCAGTATATAGTCCTCATTCAACTTCCTCTTGCCTTTGCCACAACCAGGAACCTGAACATGACGGTCAAGGTATCTGAAGAACTCAGAGCCAAACAAACGCTGCGGAACAATCATATCTGGGGGAAAAGAAAGAGGGCTGGACTCGAGCCTCATGCTTCTCATGTCGAAGCGGCACATGTGGTGCACCGCAGGTTCCCCACATTCGCTGATTGGCCCCAACAGTGAACTGGACAGCGTGAAGTAGAGGGCATTGTCTTCATCTTCCTCCTTCCTCAGGAAAGGGTAGACTGGCTGAGTCTCCGGCAATCCATTCTTCTTGAAGTCCTCCAGCTCCCACAGACTTCCCAGGCTGAGCTCCACATCCTTAGTCCATCCCCAAGAGGCCGTGTCCAGCGTCCACACTGTCATGGTCTTTTCATCCACCGGCATAGAATCTTCGAAGGAGATGGAGACGAACTTGATCGAGCTCCCAGAGGTGCAACCCATGGTCCGGTATATCTCCGCCGGCGCAGTATCCGGCATGTCCAGGGCGTCACACTCGCACCCATGGGGCAGCTCGATGAAGCTGAAGTTGACGTGGTAGCTGTCGAAGAGGTCGCTGCAGCGGCAGCACAGGACGCCCTTCGTGAGGTCAGCCCAGAAAGCATGGCTTGTGGACGTGAACTTGACGTGGTGGCGGAACTCCGATGGCGTCTTCCCCTCCGGGAAGACGGGCTCCTTCAAGTGCCACGGCTCAATGGAGGGACCCGGGGTGTCACGCAGCAGCAGAGGCGGTTTCTCCGACGATGGCGGCGGCGGCCACAGGCAGAGCACATCACGGTGGTAGTAGTTGCATCCTTGTTCTTCTTTCTGGTACTCCAAATTCCGCGCGAAGAGTACAAGGGTGTACTCGTCGCCGTAGCGCACAGGGAGAGGGTCGCACGGGTAATAGGCCTGGCAATAGGGATGAGCAGATACATGGGGTATCATGGAGAGCGACCGGAGAGTGGCATCGTAGATAAGGTAGTAATTGTCACGAGCGAAGGAGTAAGACACGGCGAGGATGATGAGGTTCTTGTCCGCGATCTCGACGTAGCCGGTGACACACGAGGCGTGTACGATCCCGTGAAGATCCATCTTCAGGCAGCCAGTTTGTTCCGTGAGCTCCTCCTCTATGATGGAGCGGATGACCCCGTCGTTTGCAGTGATGGCCAACTCTGATTGATCCAGGCCCGCGTCGCCGTCGGCGAGGCGCACATATAGCTTCAGACACTCCGCCATCAATTGGCCATACTTCTTCCCGGCTCCGTAGTTCTTGTTCGTAAAATCGACGACCTTCCACCCTTTTGCTGTTGGACCGATGCAAAATCTGTAGTCCGACACGTTTGGATCCAGCAGGACCCAGGAAGGCCATGGCGATGACGGAGGCGGAGACCGAGACGCCGCCATCGCCGAGGATTGCGGTAGAGGAAGGAGGGGGGAGGGGAAGGAAGGGGAAGGAGGCGGAGATTAGATGTGTGCACGGTGAGATTTGATGGGGGAATACTTGAGAGAAACTCCCTCTCTTAATAAAATTGGTCGATCCGGAAAAAAAAAAGGGACTAGCTACAGTTATAGTGCCATATTTTTTACCAAAATATAGTCGGCATGTGTTTATATTGTAAGTCTCTAAATTATATATATAATTTTAGTGTATTTATAATGTAAGTCTTAAAATTACATATGTAGGTCTTAAAATTACATATGTCAATCCCAAAATTATATATGTAAGTGGTGTGCAAGTGGGGTGTAACTACCGTGTAAATTTATATAAATATATAATTTACAACAACAACCAAAGTTTAAAAAACATAACAGTATGCATCTATGGCAGAGTGTCAGAACCAATCACCGACATGAAAAAAAAAGTAAAGCCTGTGTGCTGATGCCCCGTGAGCACGAATCTTCATACCAATACTAAGGCTCAAAATTCGACTGCGTTTATGGGAAAAATCTGTCGCCATAATTATAGCCAATCTGAAAAAAAAAACTTGAGAGAGATGGTGCGATTTTGCACGGTGATACGATCATACGAGTAGTAGAAAGAAAAGAGGGCTGAGTCGTTAGATTTGGGTTGTCACGGATGTCCGATTAGCGGACGGTGGATGTGTGCTGTAAATAAAGAAACACATAAACAAAAGCGGAAAATCTATTTCGAGAGCGCTCTCGGTTTAGCTCTATAGCACGAAGCATCTCACAGCCGTCTGATCGTGCACGTCGTCATGGCGTCCATCCACGTGGATGTCTTTTTCCTCTTCAAATAAAGTTCTCTCAAATTATTTATCCGATCTACAATCCAATTACACCATTGTGTTCGTTACAATTAAATCTTCACAATAAGATCTTACATGATTATATTACGATGAAAAAATATTTATATTTGTAAATTACTTTTATTATATATAAAAAAGTTACTTTTAGATTTGACTAAATTATTTCTTAGACATATAAATGTAAATTCAATAAAGTCTAAAAGTAATTTGCATATATTATAAAAGTAACTTAAAACAAAACGGAAGTAACTTTGTCACGACATTAAAAGTAAATTATGTCAGGATTATGGATACCACATACCTAATAGTAGTCGACTACATCTCAGCAGGACCCACCACATACCATATCTTATACGGAAACAACCTTCGGATATAGGAGGAGTTACGCATAAGGAAGGATGACTAGAGTTCTACATGGAAACGACAAGGACTACTCGGATTGTATCCATATTGGTTTCCCTAGTTCTACTTGGATAAGGGGACACCTATGGGTATAAATACAAGGCCTCCTAGGAGGAGAGGGGAAACAGATAATCGACACACCCACCACAATCTACAGAACAACAGAAGCCACAACATACAAGCCAACATAGGCCAAGACAAGACGCCGGCAGATATCGACTTCAGGGATAAGCACGGTTAGTCCCCTATGGTGTCTCTGGATACTGTCAGGAGAGACGAAAGCGCTATCTCTGATCTCGCCGGGCACGGATTCGAGGAGGAAGACTACCCTCTTGTCGACTACGAGTCAGAACTTCAGACCGCCATGTCGACAACAGTTAGATAGGCTACCCCACATATTATACTGGTGTGATTATGGTGAATAAAGAGCAACACCGGCTCCGGCCAACAGGATGTAGGGTTATTACCTGACAATTCAGGGGCCCGAACCTGTATAAAAATCCTCGTCCCCATCTCTTTTACCTCAGTCTCGCATATATCCTAGCACCAACGATCCCCCATACTATGCAAATAACAGAATCGCGATATCAAACGTCAACAAATTTGTTGTAAGGATAAAAAATATGACTTTATCTAGAAATTAAATTTAATCAACACACGTAAGTTTAACAAATTTTGAAAGTAACTTCAATGTTAATTGGAAGTAACTTTTGCATGGTTCAGAAGTAACTCTTTATAAATATGTTTAATCACCGATTGCTTTTTTCCTTTCATTTTTGTTTTTCATGTAGAATGAGAAAAGAAGATAAAACCTTTAATGGATTGCAGATAACATTGATGGAATAACTAATGAGAATTAACCATGTATAAGAAGTAATAGTTACTTCCTGATAACATTGAAGTTAATTTTCTAACATGTAATAAATTACTTTTAAATTAATAAAATGTTTGAATATTGTTGTGACCTTAGGGCACAAACAGAGTTGGGGGTAAACGGGAAAGTGTAAATTCCCGTTTACCCTGAGAGTGAGCCCAAAAGTAGATGTCAGGATGTATATAAGATATTTTTTTCTCTATTTCATTGTGTCTTTGCTACAGGACTCTGGTCGGCCTTTTATAGTGTTCGACCATGACCACAAATATTTACATCTTTGCCATCATGGGCTTACATGAAGTTACCATATTACCCCTAGTGATCCATATGCCCTAGGGGTATAATAGTACTTTGCTGGTGGTCCCTAGGTGACATCTGGTGCCAGCTGGTTAGAGTAGTTGAAGTGGTCCCCATAGTTATTTTTCTCGAATGAGTCAATTGCTCGATAAGACTTTTCCTTCTTTTCTTGTTATTTCAGCTGTCTTGGTCGCACCCGAGAACTCGAATATACTTTCCCATTATCTTGGCGCCTTGTCACTCCATAGGAACCTGCTCGGATACAACTATTAAGAAAAATAATGTCAGGTGGATGATGTTGGCTCGAATACATCTGTCTACTTGACATTAACTCGAATTTACTTTTCCTCATAACGCTGTTTCCTTTGGGTAACAACATGTCCTAAAAGAACTTTTCTATAAAGAGGAGAACTTCATTCGAGTTTTTATATTTTAGGGGAAACTCTCTGAGTATTTTATCTTTAAGTAGACTTTTTGGGCGAAATGTGTTTTTGGCCAAACTTGGGGGGCAAAGTTTACCCCTTGCTACAACAAATATATTCAATATGAATCTCGTTTTGTCACATATTTTGGTGTGGAGTACAATGATGTAAATAGATCTTAAAAATAATACGTGATTTAAAATATATAATTTATTAAAGAGATTAAAAAAAGATACATACTATTGCATTTTTTAAGTTAAAAGGAGACACTAGATGGAGTACAAACCAGCTACCACTAGCTGTGTACAAACCAGCTACCACTAGCTGTGTAGTCACGTCCACAATGAAAAAAGGCATGCATTAAAGTTACTTTCTTTTTTATAAGTTACTTCTATAAATTACTATTAGGCTTTATTGAATTTACTATTATATGTCTAAAAAGTAATTTATAATTTTTCATCAAAATATAATCATGTGAGATCTTGTTATAAAGATTTAATTATTACGGACACAACAGTGTAATAAGATGAATAGTCTAAGAGAAAATTTTATTTAAAGTATATATGGATAGAGTCTCTCGTAATAAATAGAGTGGTAGTTTGGTTAGTCAAACCAGCTCCAAACAAAAGCCTCCCTTAATCTGCTACGGAGTACACGGTAGACCGAGTAGTCCCGCCGATACACAAAGTGCAAAACCGCTATATTCGGTTCGCAGCCTTATTTTGACAAATTGACCCTTTACGAAAAATTATTTTAAGATTGGTCTATGCTAAAAACTAATTGAAAAATGAGCCGTCGGCTCAGCGCCATTGAGATTGGCACTGATATATAACGTTTTAGCGCCGGTAACGTTGGCGCTGAGATCCTAGATGAGCTGGTAGCAAATTCGAACGTGGCAGAGGGTCAGCGGCAGAACCACGTACCGGATAAGAAGGAAGCAACAATCTGTAATATATGATGCAAGTGTAGCCTAGTGGTGAGAGATGTGCTGGCATGCAAGACTTCTCGGGTTAGATCCCCTGCAATGCAAATTTTTTTCTTTATTTTTTTTCCTTGGTCTGTTCTCTTTCTGCTTTCGTGAACTAGCAAACAGCTGAGAGAATAATCAATGTCACATTTATTTTGTTTTAAAAAGCCAACCGAGTGAATAGAAAAGAAGGTAAAAAATCATTTATTTTTTTAAAAGCATTTATTTATTTATTTTTTCTTGGTATATGTTCTCTTTCTGCCTTCTTGAGAGAATAAAAAAGATGAGAGAATTTAAAAAGCCAACTGAGAATAAAAATAATAGATAAAAAATCATTTGTTTTTTAAAAGCAAACAACAGAGGAAAAAAATAAAGAAAATGGGTTCTGCCTTCTTGAGAGAATAAAAAAGATGAGAGAATTTAAAAAGCCAACTGAGAGAATAAAAATAATAGATAAAAAATCATTTGTTTTTTAAAAGCAAACAACAGAGGAAAAAAAATAAAGAAAATGGGTTCTACATGGTGACGGCGGGAATCGAACACAAGACCATGCACACACCAGGCAAGCAACCAAACCATTGCACCACTATCACACTTCCAACTATGATGCAAAAGGAATATTCTTAATGTAGTACGTGGGGTCAGCGCCAACAGCTTTAACGCTGACCCTCTGCCACGTGGAATTTGCTGACAGCTTAGCTAGGATTTTAGCGCCAACGTTGCAGGCGCTAAGACGTTATATATCAGCGCCAATCTCAATGGCGCTGAGCCGACGGCTTATTTTTGCAATTAGTTTTTAGCATGGACCAATCTTAAAATAAGTTTTCTTAAAGGGTCAATTTGTCAAAATTACAGATATTCGCAATCAGAGACGCGCAAGATCACGTATGTTTCCTTTTCCCGGCCCGCTGTGGATTCCGATCTCTTTCCCTTTCGGGCTATCCATAAATTGGCATGGGGGCTTGACCCGTTCGGGGAGCATCGACAACGTTTTGGGCTTCGGCCTGTTTCTTTTTTGAATAAGTTCATATGATATTTCTTAACTTGTCGACGAATCCGATTTGCGTCATTCAACCGAAAAACCAGATACAACGTCAACTGTCAAAACCGGTGCAATATAAGTATTGTCAGGGTTACGGGTCAGACATATCCTCTACCCCACGATATACGTCACATATCGACAAGGCATATCCACGTGTACACGGATAAATCCTTTAGCACATAAGGAAACTCTTCGT